TTCACTATCTCCGAGCTATAGACTTGAGGTCACCACAGCCCAGACGCTGACAGGACTCTCAAGTGGAAGAGTGTTGTGGGCTCCCAACCCCTCTCCCAGTCTCCCACCCCAGAGGCTCAAGCCCGAGCAGAGAAAGCCCGCTCCACCTGTCCCCTGCACAATGCATGGCCCTGGCCGCCTGCCCCTCCGCCCAGCCCCCTGCGACCACGAGGGTGTGCGAGTCACCGCCTCGGCCTGCCGGTCCCTGTCCTGCTCCCCGCCAGTTCTGCTTGTCCAACACCCCAAACACAGACCATTCCCCAGCCCACAGCCAGTGGTTCTCAGAGAAGGTTGGGCCGGTGTGGTGGAACCACCCGGTGGCGGAAGGATAGGGAGTCTGAGCGTGGCCTGGGTGATTGCCTGGGTGATTTGGGATGACCCTGTGTATGCACAGGTAGATAGGAAGATACATGGGCTGGGGATGTGGCGCAGTGCAAAGGCCCTGGGTTCAGTCCTCAGTACCACCAAACAAAACGACAAAACACCGAAAACTCTGGCTCTCTCTCTCTCTCTCTCTCTCTCTCTTTCACACACACACACACACACACACACACACACACACACACACACACACACACCCTATGTCTCAAAAATCTTACTGGTCGATATCCCCGCAATCCGCCTGTGTCATATTTAGAATCAGGGACTACAGGTGCTGAGAGATGCTTCACAGCCACCTCCCACGTGGCTTCCCACAGCTCTGCCCTGGGGCCCCCCTCCCCATCTTGTTGGCTTTCAATCCACCAGGCCAACAATGATCGCAGGGCCTAAAGCAGCCTGTTATTTTATTTTTCTTAACTTTTTTTTGAGTGAATTGTAGATTCCTGTCAATCGTAAGAACAAATACCACAGAGCCGGTATAGTCAGCACCTCACCTCCCTAAGGGCGACGTCCTGCCTGCCATCCTGGTTTGAATCTCCCTCAATTTGGTACACAGTGAATTTGGCTATAAAACGCTATCAGTGCTTGTCACTGATTTGGAACTTGGCACACGAGCTAGGATTTGTTGGTGTGGACTGGGCTGTGACTCACTGCCCTTCTCCAGCAGAAACAATCTGTGTGGTACTCGTCTCTTGGCACTCACAGGCGCTGTCTCTTGTTGCGGTGAAGTGGACAGGATGTCATCCTCCACCTGGAACTCCGATTCCAGCAGTTTCACACGCACTTGTGTGTGTGTGTGCTGAATTCTATGCAGTTTAGCACACCTATAGATTCATAGGATGCCCACCAGTCATGACACAGAACCACATATTAGCAGTGAAGCAGCCTTTCCTGGTCACAGCAGGTCACCTCTTCCCAGCCCAGCCACTCACCTACCCTCTGCCTCTATAATTTGGTCACTTTACAAATAATAGAATTGTTGGCTATCTCACCTTTTGAGACAGCTCCTTTCATTCACTGTGACTCCCTTGAAGTCCGTCCAAGTCAGTGTGTATCAGGAACGACCTCACCCCCTCTTTTTTGTACTGGGAATGGAACTCAGGACCTTGCGCTTGCCAGGCAGGCACTCTGCCATGGAGCTATGTCCCCAGCTGACCCTTTTTATTCTGAATCATGTTCTATGGGAAGTATGAGTGGCACAGGGTGTTTGCCAGTTCACCTGTTAAAGGCGGCTGTGACAAAGCTGCTATGAGCATTCATAGGTTCATAGGACTCTGCTAGGATTTAGGTTTAGACAAATAAAACTGCTATGAATATTTATACGTTTAGGCATAGGAGGGTTCTGTATGGTCATGTTTTTATTTCTCTGGGATAAATATCCAAAAATGCAGTTGCTGGTCATGTGATAAGCACACTGCTTGCTTTTGTAAGAAAGTGTCATATGCTTTAGAGTGGGTACACCATTTTACATTTTTACCAGTAATGCGGGATGCTCAAGCTTCTCACCAGCAACTGGCACACTCAATATTTTTCATCTTAGTCATTCACATAAGTACACAGTGATATTTCATTGTTGTTTTATTCATATTTCCCTAATGGTTAATATATTCAGGATCTTTTCATGTGCTTATTTGCATCCATACAAGGGCTGATTATAGATTTTAAAATTTAAAAAATTATTACAGGGGGTTAGCTCAGCGGCAGAAGTGCCTGCTTAGCAAATGTGAGGTCACGAGTTTGATCCCAGTACCAAAAAAAAAGATTATTAGAGTAAAGTAGGGCACAGTGGAACACACCTATAATCCCAGCACTTGGGAGGCTGAGGCAGGAGGATTGTGCTGAGTTCAAGGCCAGTTGAATGAGAACTTGTCTCAGTTAAAACAAAGTATGGCTGGGCATTGTGGTGCATACCTACAACCTGAGCACTTGGGAGGCCACGGAGGATCACTGTGAGTCTGAGGCCAGCTGAACTACATGGTGAGAACAAAACACTACTATTCTATTTCATATAGACTGCATTTGAAATTTTATAAAAGACAGTTTATAACATGGTCTAAAATGCTGAAACAGGCCAGGGATTTAGCTCAGTGGCACAGGGCTTGCCTGGCAAATGCGAGGTTGTGAGTTTGATCTCCAGTACCTACACCCATCCCCGCAAATGCTGGAACATAAATAAGGACTATGCAGTATTATGATCGTGTGCTGTGTGTATAGTTACCTGATGCTTACATCTTTCAGATTACAGTGTGTTGTCATTCACTGTGTCTTCTTAGGGCTCACATTAAACTACAGAGCAAGGATCATCACCCCCATAGCACAAGGGAGGATCCTGAGCTGGAGTCAGATCACAGGCCCTGCAGTATCCACCTCTTCTCTTCCTGCTTCCTGGAATGGATAATAACCTACAACTAAACACAGGGCTTTTGCTTTGAAACTGAGCCAATACACAAACAAGTTAGACCAAATTTGGGCTCATATCTTCCCATCAGAAGAATTCTGCCATTCTAAAAAGGTGATCCTAGGAGTAAAGCATAGAACTCAACAGAAGTGATTAAATCATAAGGAGAACACTCCTACCAAGAGTGGTGCACACCTGTCATTCAGCATCCGGGAGGCTGAGGCAGGAGGATCACTTACAAGTTCAAGGTCAGCCTGGACTACACAGTGAGTTCAGTGTCAGCCTGACCTACACAGTAAGACCCTATCTCAAAAAGACAAACAAAATTACTAAATAGCTGTGCATCACAGACACACTTGAGCACTTGGTCAGCTCTCTGTTGTAGTTTCCCTGCCATCAGGCATGGGCCAGTGGCCTGCGAGTGTAGGAAGGACACCAGCGGGGTGGGCCCTCTGACCCCACTCTGGTACTCACCCTGTGTCTCCTCTCCACATTATTCCTTTCATCTTATCCCCGTGTCTCCTGGGCACTGAGAACAGACTCTACTGCTGCTTCCTCTTCAAGCCCCAGTTTCCTGTGGGGTGGTCAGGGGTGTGTCATTTAGTCACTCTGGTTTTCTTTTCCTGTGTGCATACTGGAGGTGGAATCCACATCACAAAAGACCCTGCCTACACAATTTATTTTTTATTTTTATTTTTGGTACCAGGAATCAAACTCAGGACCTTGTGCTTGCAAAGCAGGCACTGTGCTGCTGAGCTAAATCCCCATCCTCTGTCCAGGCAATTTAACAAATTTATTTATTTCTTCATGTCAGGTTACATTCCCAGTCATATTTTTATTTTTATTTATTAATTTTTTTGGTACCAGGGATTGAACTCACAACCTTGAGCTTGTCAGGCAGGTTCTTATGCCACTGAACTAAATCCCCAGCCCCTGTGTTTTTATTTTTTCATGTTAAGACAGAGTCTCCCAAAGTCACTAAGTTGTCCAGAGTGGGCTTGACTTGGGATCCTCCTGCCTCAGCAGCCCACAGTGCTGGGAGCACGCCAACAAATACTCCTGAAGGGTGAAATCCCATGATTCTGTGGTATCTCAGATAAACTCAATTCTGGGGCCAGCAGTACAGCTCTTTCCCCTGGTCACAAGCTAAGGGGAAGAATGTTATTCAGGTTAAGGCTTCTGGGGAGAAAAAGGGAAAGACAAGGTGAGTATGGTGAAGCAGCACCTCTGTCCTCCCGGCCCAAGTCCTTGCTTCCCATCCACTAGGACAACTTCTCCGTCTGCTGCCAAAAAATCTGTGATTTTGTTTGTTTGAGACAGGGTCTTGCTATGTAGCCCAGGCTGGCCTCGAGCTCATGGTGATTTTTGGCTCAGCCTCCTGAGTGCTGCGATTACAGCTGTTCGCCACCCTGACTGGGCAAATCTGTGATTAAATGTGGCTTATTTTGCCACATCTGACACAGCCACTTCCTGTGCCTTCACCACAGCCTGACTCGCCATGAGCTGCGTGGCAGGTACGATGACCCCAATCCCAGCATCAGCGTGGAGACCTCTCCCCTCCAGCCTGTCCCACCTTGGCTGGGGGTTGAGAGTGGTAGATGCACCCACTGAGACAGCTCACAGTCCAAGAGGACGCTGAAGCAGGACAGCCTGTCCTGTGAGGGCCACCTCCCCTGCCCTGCCCCTTTCTTCTCTTGCTCTGCCAGCTGTGCTTCTCTTTTAGGCCATTCTCACTTGGGGAACGCAAAACCAAACCAAGCCTGGTAATACAGGCCTGGACTCCTAGTGCTCTGGGAGACTGAGGCGGGAGGATCCAGAGTTCAAGCCCAACTGGGGCAACTGAGCAGCTTAGTGAGATCCCAGCTCAGAGCAGGAGGAGCAGGCTGGGGCTCCAGCTCAGTGCTGAGGCCCTGTATTCAATCCCAAGGACCTGAAAAGAAATAAACCAAACCCCACACCCCGAGTCCAAGTGCTACTCATTCAATCCTGATAGATGGACTTTCTGGGAAAGGTATTTCCCAGAGGCGATATTTACTGCAAAGCTCAATCTTCTCAACAGTGCACGGGTCACACTGCCTGCTCATTCACTCCGCAACTTGAGGGTTCCTTGTCTTCTGCCCTTATTCTAACACTCTGGGAACCTGAGGCAGCAGGTTTGCAAGCTCAAATCCCGCCTACACAATTTATTTTGTTATTTTTATTTTTATTTTTATTTTTGGTACCAGGAATCAAACTCGGGACCTTGTGCTTGCAAGGCAGGCACTGTGCTGCTGAGCTAAATCCCCACCCCCTGCCCAGGCAATTGAACAAATTTATTTGTTTCTATTTTTAACAGAATAAAATGAAACAAAATAAAACAGAATAAAGCCAATGAAAACAAAACAGTGAAAGTGATGCAGGACTTCAAAACAAGGTAACAGGAAATCAACAATGGGGATTGGTACCTCCTGTCTCTCAGTCCCACAGGAAGGGGGTAGCCTGGCCCACACCGCCACTGGCTCACAGGAAGGGGTTGGCTTTCTTTTTGGTTCTCTTCCCAGATCTCAGGGCTGCAACTGGCTCCTGTGTAGCAAATTTAGCTAAGCCCTGTCTCAAAATTTAAATAGTGAAAAAATATTTTAAAAGGACTGTAAATGTAGCGCAATATAAAGGTCCTAGATACCATAAAACAAAAACACTGATCCTTGTTTGCCTTCTCCATGTTACTATAAATGTACACACTCAGGAGGCTGAGGCAGGAAGACTGTCACCAGTTGGATGTCAGCCTGGGGTACTTAGTGAGTTCAAGACCAGCTTGAACTACATAGCAAGACTCTGCCTCAAAACAAAACAAAACAAAACAAAACAAAACAAAACAAGAACAAAAAAAACCTTAAACAACAGTAATTTTATAACCTCTGCATTAGGCACTGGCAGACGCTACGGAGACCTGAGAGATTTTTCTGCCCTCAGGAGTTCACAGTCTAAGAGGCAGCGGGAAGCAGAGGTCATGGCGTGGGAACTCTGCTTGACACGAGGCTGACAGGGAAACCAGAGTACAGCGCTGAGCTGTGAAGACAGCTGGGGCAGGAGTCTGCTTCCAGACAGTTTCCGAGTCAGGAGGGGCTTAACATCCTCCTGGGACTCCCACGGGTAGAGTGAGGGGTCACCTCCCTCAGTCTTCCTGGAGGTGGGACCTTCAGGGATAGATCCACGGTAGTCCGGTGTCCAGGGTGTTGTCTCCCAAGCAGGGACTGAACCTGTGAAGTATCTCACACAGGCTGGCACACAGAGGAGTGCAGTCCTTTCAGGGAGGCCAGTGTACTCATCTATTTCTGTAGTCCAAGCGCTCTGGGAGGCTGAGGCAGGAGGATCACAAAGGCAAGCCCAGATTGGGCAGTTTAGTGAGTCTATGTCCAAAAGAGAGAAAAAAGAAAGAAGGGGGGCGGGCTTTGAGTGCTGGTGGCAGATACCTGTCACTCCAGCCCTTAGGAAGCTGAGGTAAGCATCACTGCAAATTTAGTACCAGAAATCAAACTCAGGACCTTGCACTAGCCAGGCAGGCATTTATGCCACTGAGCTATATCCCTAGTCCTGAGTACTGCAAATTTGGGGCCAGCCTGGGCTACATAGTGAGTTCAAGTTAGCCTGAAGTACATAGTGAAACCTCATCTCAGCAAATAAATAAATCAATGAGCCAGTACACAGATGATCTGGGATGCAGCTCCAGTGCCAAGGTTCTGTGTTCAGTCCCCATACTGTAACAACCCAAAACAAAACAAATGAAACAACAACAACAAAAAGGCATGAAAGATGAATACCAGACTAACAGCACTTCTTAAAGCTGGCTGCAGGGGCTTTAGCTCAGTGGCAGAGCCATTGCCTAGCATGGGCCTTGGTTTCTATCCCCAGCATGGGGGAAGAATCTGGGTCATTGACTAGGACCAACTGGCATAGGTACAGACTATAAGCTGTAATCCAGGTTTAAATTTATTATAATAGTCTTCAAGGAAAAAAATGGACCAGAAGGTTACAAGGTTAAATAATAGATGTGTGAAATTATAAGGCAACTACGAAATCTATTAATCTAATGTCTTTTTGGGGGTGGGGGCAGGGGTGCGGGGGTGATGGGGATTGAAGCCAAGATCTTCACACTGAACTACATTTTTATTTAGAGACAAGGTTTCACTAAATCACGAAGTTCCGCAGGCTGGACTCAAACTTGGTCATTCTCCTGACTCAGTCTCCCAGAGCACTGGGATTATCAGTGTATGTCACCATGAGTCGCAAAATTTCTTAATTTTTAACGAATAACATTTTTTTTTACACTTTCATTTTGGGTCCAAGGATATACCTCAGCTGCACAGCACCTACCTGGCACAAGGTCTTGAATTCTATTCCTGTTACCCAAGAAACAATACTTGTTCATTTTATTTATTTTCTGAGACAGGGTCTTACTATGTAGTTCAGGCTGGCCTTGAACTTGTAGCAAGGGATCTCCTTGCCTCAGCCTACTAAGTACTGGGATTACAGGCATATGCAAGGCTATATGTTCATTTTAGAAAGTGTTTCTTCTATATTTTTCTTCCTTCTTAAATGCTCATTGATAGTACTAAGTTTAATTAGTAGTAAGTGAAGTCCCAGTGGCAAAATAACTTCTCCAAGACTGTGTAGCAATTCCTAAGCAGGCTGGCCTCCAAACAGTGCTTCTTCCCTGCTGCTAACACCTCAGTGTCCTCACCCTGTCACACTGGAAGAGTGTTCAACCAGGAAGTAAAGGGCAACATACTATAGATTTTGACGTTGGTTATTTAATCCTTAAATTCCGAGTGTTTTTGGTTGGTTTGTTTTTTGAGACAAGATCTTTCTGTGAGATTCAGATTCAGGCTGGCTTTGAACTCACTTTGTAGCTTAGGCTGGCACTGAACTCAAATTCATGGCAATCCTCTTGCCTCAGCTTCCCAAGTGCTGGGATCACAGGCATGCATTACAATGCTGGGTTAGCAAGGAAAATTTAAAATGTGGTTCTTATAGATTTGTGGATATGGCTGATCCACGTTCTTCTTTTGCTGTTTAGATTTCATTAATAATTTTGATATGAATTCTGTGATGAAACCTGGAAAGAGTAACACTTTTCTGGTTGGCATGGAATGGCTCTGTCATAAGGTATGAATGTACTCTTGAGTTTATCATTCTATAGTATCTGTGTGCGCCCAGGAATTCTTCTCAGTAGTCTTCTCTCTGTGTCTACATATGCTTTTCTGTACTGCTAAGTGTGGAAAACAGAAAACTGTCTTGCAAGTTTCTTTGCAGTTGGGCCTCTAGATGTAAATTAGGATGGATCAGTAACTGACTGAAAGGGTATAGTGGCGTGGGTCTGTAATCCTAGCACTCTGGAGGCTGAGGCAGAAGGATCACTGTGAGTCGAGGCCAGTCTGGAGTACAGAGTAAATGTAAGATCAGTGTGAATTACATAGTGAGACCTTGTCTCAAAAAAAAAAAAAAAAAGAGAACTCCCTCTACCACCAACAAAAATAAATGTCTGAGAAAGTAGAAGTGAGGCCAGGCCATTCTCCTGGCTGCCCTCCTGTCACTATGCACCTTGTGGCCATGGGTGACCTTTGTCTCCACATGCAGTGGGCTGCCGGTGCCCAGGCACAAGTTCCGTGGCTGCTGATGCCTGCTGAGGTGTGGAGAACAGGAGCTCTCCAGGTCCAGGTGACAGGCAGCCAGTGTGTTCTCAGGCTCAAGCCATCCAGTCTCCACCGCTCACTTTCTGGTGGGTGGTGGCGACCTTAGTGGTCTCATCTATGGAGCCCTCCCTGGAGTACCAAGAAGATCGTCTCCTGCCAGGATCCACAATTACAGACTTCTTTTTTCTCTTTTCATCTTCCTGAGACAGTTTTGCTATGCAATTAGGCTAGCCTGGAACTCACTTTGTAGCCCAGACTGGGCTTGAACTGAACTCACAGTGATCCTCCTACCTCAGCCTCCGGAGTGCTGGGATTACAAATGTGGGTCACCATGCCAGGCAACCATCTTTTCTACATAAGGTGATTTTTTCTGGAACCAACCATGGCAAATTTATCTCTGTGCACAGTAAGCACAGTGTATCTTTGGTCTTCTACCAGCCCTTCCCTACTTGGCGTTCCCTTTCCAGCTCCATAAATTCCAAATGCAGGGTAACCTGTTGCTTTCCTCTGTGGTCTGCAGAGTTCTTGTAGCTATTTTAGTCCCCTAGAGACAAAAGAAAGTTTTTATTAGATTGTTATGTTGATACATTGTGTCAACTTGAGAAGTTTAAAAATTTAACCAAGAGACTCAGCAGGAACCAGGATCCTTATTCTGTAAACATCCTCATCCTGTGCAGGAGGACACAGAGATGGTGGGAGTGCTACACCTGCCCTAGGGGTAGGAGGAGAGTAGCCTGTTTACAATATAAGGGAGAAGAGGCTTGTTTTCCATTTTGTTCTGGGTGCTGCTTTGTAGTGTTACCCCAATGCCATGCCACTCTGCCTTGGAGCTATGTAGTGAAACCTCCACAAACAGTGAGCTAAATAAAACTTTTCCTTCATTTTGGGCATTGGGTATTTTGTTCCGGTAATGGAGAAAAATAACCAAGACATCATTCAGGGGAATAGGCATCGAGGCCCAGGAGGCTGAAGATTTTCCTAAAGCCCATGATGCTTTTTCACTTAGTATCTTAAATTCTTACCAAACAAGTAACTTACCCTGAGTTGGCAAAATAGCTGACAGTGCTTGCTTAGCATGGTGAAGCTCTTGAGTTTGATCCCCAGTGTCACAATAACAACAATCACTACTTTACATATATACTGAGAGCCTTGGATCTGTGATTAGTAACAACAGCAGTGCTAGGTGTGGTGATGCACACCTGTGATCCTGGCACTTGAGAGATTGAGGCAGAGGATTGCCGTGAGTTTGAAGCCAGCCTGGGCTACATAGCAAGACCCTGTCCCCCCTCCCCCCCCAAACAATAACAACAACAAAAAAACCAGGAATCTATTTCTTTAGAGTTGGTACTGGGTTCTACACTGTCAGTGCCCCCCCCCCCCACCAGTTCTGCCTTGGCTGATTTGGTATAATCCAAGGGAAGTGACAGTGCTACAAGGGGATGAATTATTTTTCTTTACAAATCCATTTTATTTCAAGGAGAAAAAGAAAAAGAAAGAAAAAGGAGGAGGAGGAGAAGAAAAATAAAATAAAATTTCAAAGCACATCAGTCAGGGTAGGGGATAAATTACTGACCAAAAATAATATTTGTATGCTTATTTAACATTACTAGCAACAGAATGCATCCTTTCTTAAAGACTTCTTAAAATTCTGGAAAATGTTAACATCAGTCCTCTCTTTTGGTATAAGCAACATCTTTACCATGCTTGGATTTTATAGACTAGTAATCATTTGTCCGTTGCATTTTTCTTCTTGCAAATAACAAATCTGCTCCTCTTCTTGCTTCTCAATTACTGGAATGACAAGTACATTAAAAGCAGTAGGAGCACTTTGGTTTGCACTTTTATGTCATCTGGTCTAGAATATCCTAGAAAACAACGAAGGATAGGATTACTTTGGATAAATAGAAAATATCTTTGGCAGAATCTTGACCAATAACCCTTCCAGTCCTAGAGGGTAGTCACAATATTAAGGGGACATTTTTGAACTTTACCTCCAAGTTCAGAACACAGTGCTTTTTTTTTTTTTTGGTACCAGGGATCGAACGCACGACTTTGCTTGCAAGGAAGGTGTTTATGCCACTGAGCTAAATCCCCAGCTCCTAGAACACAGTGCTTATAGACATGGTATTGCTGAAATCTAATTATTTAAAAAACTAGAATAAGAAAGTGTACATGCACACTGGAAAGCAAATGATTTCATATTATCATCTATAAATGAGTTTCCTCAGTGCTCTCAAATTCTGAGTTCCTCTTGGAATGTAAATTCTGATTCTAGGTAAAACATGTTCTTATTTGTCACTCACTGGACCTAAAAGTCTTCTCTCCACTAATTGTGTCTATCTTTTCCCTTTTTCTAAAAGGTAGCTGCAGGGGCAAACTGCTTTCAAATGTTAAAGGCCTCTGTGTGTTAAGATAAATGCACATGCATTTTCTCAGGTGGGCTGCTGGTCTGGGAAAAGGTCCACTTTTGAATTACAGCTGAATTAACCATGTGATGAGTATGAAACATTTTTTCAGCATCCTAAATTTGGCGTAGCTAGGTCTTTGGGGGGGGTAAGGGTGAACCCATGCCCTTTGCACAGAACTACATCCCTGGCCCATTTTGTTTGTTGTAATTTTTTTGCTAAATCATTTAGATTAGGCTCAGACTGAAGTTTCTCCTGTCTCAGCCTCCCACCCTCCCGGGACTGATTACAAGTATGGACATCAAACCCATAGTCACAAAACATATCTTGAACACATTCTTTTATTTTTTTGGTACCAGGGATTGAACTCACAACCTCACATTTGCCAAGGAGGCATTTATGCCACTGAGCTAAATCTCCAACTCCTATCTTAAATATACTTTAAAAGCCTACCATTCATCCAGATTTACTCCTACCCCTGCTCTGAGGACTAGACCCACCTTTTTCTTCTTTCTTTTTATTTTTTTTACTTTTGAGGCAGTTCTCCTTAAATTGTCCTTGGTGGTTGCTGGGCATACATTATAAAGGTCTGGCTTGGTTCAGTTCAGCCGCTGCCCACCTACCATGTGTCCCACACAGCCCAGCACTGGACATACCATACTAAAACGCGGTTCTTACCCAGAAAAGCCTCTGTATGAGGATAATGCTCTTCCTCCACAGTTTTATACAGTTCTACACAGTTCCCTTTACATCCTTCCACCCTCCAGTCACTCTGTGCATGGTTTCTTTAGCAAGCTACCTGTTTGGAGACCACGACATACTGTCAGTTTGGCTGTTTATTCGAACTTCGGTTTTTCATCCTTCGCTATAGAGAGAGATAAACTCATGTCCTTTTTCCTCCTGCATTTCACCTATTACCTTAGCCAGCATTAGAAAACGGGATGTCTGGGGCCAGAGGTTCCTGAGTCTAAGCGTATATTCCATTGTACTTTTTTTTTTTTTTTTGAGACAGGGTCTTGCTGTGTAGTTTAGCCTTCCGTTGATCTTACTGTGTAACCCAGGCTGGCCTCGAACTCATGGCGATCCCCCTGACTCAGCCTCCGAGTTAGGTGTGTGCATTTCTGAGGGCCAGCGCACACGCCCGATCTTCGGAGTAAACAGGAAATAATCATCACTCACAGGAAATGAGCTGGTGTGCGGGGTATAAAGGTGCTGCGAATTTCCCTCGTTTTCCTTCAGTTCCATTTACACTCATTTCCGGGTTTCAATCAATTTCGTCCTTCCCTATAATAACAGAGTCCGTCTGGGTCTCCCTGGCCCCACCCTGGACTTCATCCCTGAGAGTGGCCAATAAGCCTTGCCCTTTAGTGGACAACGTCGGCCTGGCTTTACATCACTGCTAACCTCAGCCAATCATCAGCTGAGGTAGGAGGTACCCAAATAATCTTCACTTCCTCCCAAATGGCCATCCACGCCTGCGTCATCCCGTGATAGATTACCTATGCTGCCAATCAGTGAGCAATGATGGACCCAGCCCACCCTAAGCACAGCCAGTTAAAATGAAGGTGGGGGAATTGGGGCGGAGAATGGAAAAGTCCCTCTTATGGACGCGATTTTAAGAGGTGCGTCCGGAACCAGTAAAGTTGCAACTTTCTCCTAGCCGTCCTTCACTCCAAACAGAGTATATCGCGGGCCCAGCTCTGTTCCACCTCGACCCCACCCCAAGATGGGGCCCAAAGCTCACATTCCACCCCGTCAGCGTTTCAGAGGCTCTTGTCCCCATCCCTGAAGTCCCTCAGGGAAAGAACTCAAGCCCAAGGCTGGCACCTGGTACGCTGCTGCCCGGGCCGGTAGACTGGGGGACCAAGATGCTCAGCGCTCGCGCCAATCTTTCCATTCAGCGCTTCTCTCCTCCCTCCTCCACGTTCCCAGACCGTAGCTGACACGGGGGTGGGAGGAGCCACAGTCTGCGCGGAGCAGAGAGAGGCTGAGGCTTCTTAAGGTGGATCAGCGGCTGGCGGGGCCTCCTGTTACGAGCCTCACTCCCACAGAGCCTTGGTTCCACTCTTAGTTTTTGTGTTTTTTAGGGATTAAACAGATCGGTTAGGGGATATAAAATTAATGTCGAAAACTTCAAATCATAAACAGCAGTCCCAGCATTTGGCCAGCTGAGACAGGGACTCCTGGAGTTCAAGGCGAGGCTGGGCTACATTGCAAGATCTTGTCTCAAAAACAACAAAATACAGATATAAAAAAGGAAGCACAAACTATGCAGAGAACTTATTTTTAAAGATACTAGGGATTGAACCTAGGGTTTTGCACTGAGTAACATCTCCTGCCTTTTAAAATGTATTTTTATTTTGAGACAAGGTCTCTAAATCACTAAATGGTCCAAATTAGGCTCTAATGCTGGGATCACAGTCCTGCACCACACCTGGTAGGAGTGTTCTCCTTTTTTTTTGTCATTTTGAGACAGGGTCTCTCTATGCAGTTCAGGCTGGCCTTGAACTCACTTTGTAGCAAAGGCTGGTCTCGAACTCGCAATAATTCTCCTGCCTTAGCCCTCTAAGTGCTGGGATTATGGGCATGAGCCACCACGACCGGTTGATTTGATCACTTCTGTTGAGTTCTATGCTTTACTCCTGGGATCACCTTTTTAGAGTAGCAGAATTCTTATGGAAATATATGAGCCTATATTTGGTCTGATCAGTATCTTAAATGAATTGTTTGTATGTAGGCTTGGTCTCACAACAAAAGCCCTGTGTTTAGTTCAGGTCATTACCTATTCCAGGAAGCAGAAAGAGGGAGGTGGATACAGCAGGGCCTGTGATCTGACTGCAGCTCCCTTGTGCTATGGGGTTGATGATCCCTGCTCTGTAGTTTAATGTGAGTCCTAAGAAGACACAGTGAATGACAACACACTGTAATCTGAAAGATGGAAGCATCAGGTAACTACACACGCAGCACACGATCATAACACTGCATAGTCATTATCTTCCAGCATTTTAAACCATATGCTAGAAAAGTATCTCAGTCGGGTGAGGTGATGCACACTTGTAATCCCAGCACTTGACAGGCTGAGGCAAGAAGATCATTTCAAGACCAACCTGGGTTACAAAATGAGCTCAAGGCCAGCCTGAACTACATAAGCAAGACCTTGTCTCAAAAAGACAAAAAGAAAAGGGGGGAAACAAAAAAGAAAAAAAAAGTCAAAAGTGTCTCTTTTAAAATTTCAAATGTAAGGACTGGGGATTTAGCTCAGCAGCATAAGCGCCTGCTTGGGAAGCGTGAGGTTGTGAGTTTGAACCCCAGCAACTAACTAACTAAATAAATAAACCAGAAGTGGTGGCATATACCTGTGATGTCAGCACTCGGGAGGCTGAGGCAGGATTGTTGCAAGTTCAAGACCAGCCTGGGCTATAAAGGGAGTCCAAGGCCAGCCTGAACTGCATAGAGAGACCCAGTCTCAAGAAAAGACCAATAAATAAATAAATAAATAAATAAATAAATAAATAAATAAATGTAATGCTTAAATCAATCTGACACTAAATACCTTAAAAAAATAAAATTTCAAATATGTATATACAAACGTTGAATAGAATTTTTATTATTTATTTATTTGAGACAGGTTCTCATTATCTAGTTCAGACTGGCCTTGAACTTGACATGATCCTCTTGCCTCAGTTTCCTGAGTGCCGAGATTACCACACCAGGCTTTTTTATTTGACTATTTTTGAAGTAGATTTCAAATATTTCATGTCTCTCTAATATGTACTGTTTGAAAAAAATTAATAAAAACAATTCTATTAAGGCATCTAAAATATAAGAATTTTTATGCCACTATCTCAGTATTAAAATTTTATCAACTGTCTCATAGTTTTTTCAGTTGCTGTGTTCTAATAAAAGTCATCATAATGTCCCCATATTGTACATGATGGACATGTAACTTGGTTCATATAAACTGCAACATGTCTTTTAAGCCTTCTTTTCTTGTGTAGTTTCTCATCTCTTATGTACTTAGCTAAGAGCACTATGTGTATGAAATCACACAGTCCTTTCACAACGCTATGGGAGCACTGGGCAGATATGAACCCATAGACTAAAGTAGCTACTGTCATTATTCCCACTTGGCTGAAGAGGAAATGAATTACAAAGCAGTAACCTACCTACATTCTCACAGTTACTAAGATCAAGGCTGAGATTTGAGTCATTAACTGTTACCCCCTATATTATGTTTCACATTATATATTGGTCTTTAAAATGATTTCCAATTTTTTTTATTGGACACATGCCGGCAACCCCAGCACTTGGGAAGCTGAGGCAGGTGGGTCACAGTGAGCATGAGGACAGCCTAGACTATGTAGCAAGACCCTTTCTCAAAAACCAGAACAATCAAAAGTATTTTCAAAATGTGTGTTCTAGAATTTAGGTAATTATTATGAAGAAGAGTTTTCCTCAAAGTAGACCAATATTAAGAATTAATATGTCCTATAACAGAGAAGCAGATCCTTAGGGTTCCCCCCCCCCCACCAAATTCATTTTATTTCAAGGAGGAAAAAAAAAATCCTGAAATTTAGTTTGGTTTTTTTTTAAAGGGCAAAAAATTATAGAAAAATCAAAAGACAATCAAGCAAATGAACAACAGCAAAAGCAACAGCAACCTTTACAATAGCAACAACAAAACAATAGTGATACAGGATTTCAAAAAAGATGGTGGGACATGGTTGTTACATTGTATAATGTTCAAAATAGTTGCTCAGATTACCAGGTACAAGTGTGCAGAATTGATCAAACAATATTTCCCTTTGAGCAGTTTCTTTCTCTTTCACTGTTCTTATTGTAAATATTTGGATCTTATTTACTTTCAGTTTCTTACACCAGTGAGACAGTATGGTATTTACACACGTGACTCTGATGGTGATGCTTAGGTTTGATTTTTTTTTTTTTTTGCATGTTTCAATAGCTTTCTACAAGCTTTGTTATTACCTTCTTTAGTAGACAGTAATGGAAGAGCCAGGTGTGGTGGAGAATGCCTATAATCCCAGCATTCAGGAGGCTGCGGCATAGAGGATTTCCAAGACTGTGAGGCCAGCCTGGGCTACACAGTGAACTGAAGGCCAGTCTCAGTTACACAGGAAGATCCTGCCTCAAGAAAAAAAAAAGAAGGATAAATGAATGTAAACAAAATAAAGCTTCTCAGGTAAAACACAATTATGTGCATATTAAAATGAAGTAAAAACCTTTAAACTATTACTTTGTAAGTATGTATATACATGTAAATATACCATATACACATTCATACACATTTTATTTTTTTACTTTTTATTTTATTTTATTTTTTGTCTTTTTCCTTTTTATCGGTACCGGGGACAAGGCAGGCGCTTATGCCGCTGAACTAAATCCCCAGCCTCTACATACACATTTTAAAAAGACAACTATCTGATCATATTGGATAAGCTTTAAAACATATGAAAAATGGTTTTTTGAAATTATACTGTTACATTTGGATTTTAGTCTTGGCGTAAAAGCACTACTTATGGGAGCCATGTGTGAACTTAGTCAATGTCCCTGCCCTAGTTCCCCATCTGTAAGAGGTATAAGGACAGCGCTTCAGAGTACTGCTGTGAGAATTTAACCTGGTAACACTTGTGACATGCTCAGCCTTAACATCTGATGCATTACAAATATCGTGTAATTATATGTGCATATAATTTAAAGAAGACATAATAGCATAATATAAGCCAGAAAACAAAGACTTTGTAACGGTGAATTGTGATCCAGAAGCTCTAATCCTGAGAATATAAAAAAATTTTTAAATGTCTTTTTGAGACAGGCTTTCACTATGCAATCCACACTGGCCTTGAATTCACTTTGTAGCCCAGGTTAGGCTCCAGTTAGCAGCGATCCTCCTGCCTCTGCTTCCCCAGTGCTGGGATTACATGTGTGGGCCACCACACCCGGCTAAATGTTGCTTTTTGAGCACTTGAAACATTTCATGAAAAAATCCTTTTTGCCTTCATGTTATCTTATGAGAGACAGTGGTTTGAGAAAAGCTTCCGTAGCAGAGGATGAATTCCGAAGCATCTGCAGCAGAGCCCTGCACCGCAGGGGCCATGCGGGGAGACCACCTCACGGGTGGCCTTCAGGACAAGTCGCTCGCAGGATTTCCGAGTAAAGTGCACAGCAGGCGTATTCTGTCCCCTTGTACACCGCACCGTTAAGTCATTTTTCTCACTTGTCTCACTTGGTGATTGCCGGGCCTGCAGGAGAGGCTGTCGGAGCATTCAGGTCTCCTCTTTCCAACTCAGGACGGTGCACCATTTACAGAGTCGCAGAAGCGAGGGGACCAGACCTTCCCACGCCGCTCGGAGCATTTCTTGAGCTCCCGGGTGCTCCGGGGACCCTGGTAACTTCGCCCCAGTACCCAGGACTCCTGTGAACTTTGCGAGGGAAGAGAAGCCCACCCAGGGCATCTCTGCGGAAGCCCAGGGTGCCCAGCCATCCGCAGGGGGGACGCGGCAGAGCCGCGCTGCCGAGCGCGGGGTTGACAGCTGCAGGGCGGGCGCTCCTCCGGGTCCCCGGCCGGTCTCCGGCCGCGGCGCCTCCTTAACCCGCGCCGGGAGGCGGGCGGGGCGGGGGCGGGGCGCGGCGCGGAGCCGGGGAGGAGCCGGGGCCTGCAGCGGAGCCGAGCCGGGCCCGATCCAGCGGAGTCCCTACCCGCGCGTCCGCCTCTGGCTCCCGGGAGCGAAGACCGGCCGCAGCCCGGGCCGCGGCAGCGCGGGGACCCCAGGTGCCGAGGGTGGCGCGAGCACGGGCTGGGCCTCGAGGGGGCGCTGCAGCCGCGGGAGCCGGGACGCCAGTCGGCTGCGCGGCCTCCGGACCCCGCTGTCCAGGCCGGCGCGGGGAGCGCGGGGAGTCGAGAACCCCGCCCCGGGCGCCCGAGCGGAGGCGGGAGCGGGGCCGCAGTGGCCTCGGCTAGGGCTCCGGGGACGCTCCCGTCCTTTCCGGAGACCCCGGGGTCCCATCCTGGATCGGGAGGGGACCCCAGAAGTAGAGAGAGGTGCTCCTGCCTTGAGGAAGCCGCCGCCCTCCAGACAAGCGCTGCGGACACTTGGGGACTTCGGGGGCGGAGAGAAGGGGTCCTGCCCGCGGGGCGGGCGCCCGGCCCCGGCACTCACAGAGCCCGGAATCTTGACGCGCGGGAGAGGAGGGCGCCCTAAGAGGCGGGGAGCCGCGGGCTGCAGCCGCCCCACGCCGGGCCGGACCGCTCCCTCCACTTCCCCGGGCCCGGACGGTGGACCGGGGCCCAGCCCCTGCGCCCGGGGCTCCTGCTGACCGAGATCGCCCTCCGCCCGCTGGAGACCCAGATTGGGGAAAAGGGGGACTCCCTCGAAGGGGAGGAGACGACTCCTGGTTGGGAGAGGCTCCTCCCCTCCTCCCCCGGGCGGCGGGCAGGGTGTGGGGGCCGCGCCACCTCCCCCAGGTGGGGCCTCCTTCGCCTCCGCCCCCTCCGCCCTCGGCTCCCCATCCTCTGGGCACGCGGTGCCCTACGCCAGCTCGGGAGGCTCAGCCAAGTACCAGAAGAGCCCCCGAGGATGAGACCTGTCATCTGCCTCTGAAGAGGGACCTCCCTCCAACCCCAAACTCCGGGACTCGGCAGTTTCCTCCCTTCGCTGGAGGACGCGTGGAGACAGGTTAGTGCTCCTCTCGGGCGTCTTGAGACACCAGTGGATGTCGGGGCTGAAGCGGTGGATCTCGGGTTTCCTTACGGGGAGCAGCGAGGCCTCAGTCTTCTGGGAAATGTGTTCTGAAGCAACTTCTGGATTTGAACTCACATCTTGCTGCAGAGGCTGAGGAATGGGTTTCCTGGTGTGTGACTAAAGGATGATGTTCATGGTGGGCTTTAGGGAAGTGGATGTCTCTATGCTGAGGACAGAGTAAGCCACGGTTAATATTCCAAAGTCCAGGCATCCTGTGTAGTGAGGCGGGGCAGAATCCACAGACGCCCCTGTGCCTGCCATCCATGAGCCTTTTTGTCTAGACATGTCCTCACCAAAATCGTGATGGCATTAGTGTCCAAGGGCACACCAGCGGGTCCTGTCCAACCCATTGTGACTACTGCCCCCTTAACGAGCAGGGGCAGCAGGCTGTCTCCGTGGCCTACCGTGGAAGTTACTTCACCTGCCGGACTGCCTGTGTGCCTTGCCCCGCAAGATTCAGAGTTCAAAATGTGAACCCAACGTGTCCTCAGATGCAAGTGGACCGGGGTGGGGGGGGGCGTCCACTCCTGGGTTGAAGTTCTTCTTAATACTGGATCTGCCCGGTTCCCTACACTCCTGTCAGTTCCTTAGGAAAACCAGATCTCGAATAGAAGACAGGAGCTTTGCTGTTTGCTTCCTTCCATCCGAGTAAGGTGACCACAGGGAGTTTTGACCTCACAGAGATTTACTAGTTTCCTTCCAGAGAAGCACCTGTGAATCTCACTGTCTCCCTTCCTGTTTCCTGATTGGTTCTGGCCCCTGGAATCTGTAGTTAGCTTTCCCTTCTAAAATGGGGACTCATCAAAGTCCAGAGGCTTCAGAAAAGGCAAAAAAAGTGCCAGGAGGTCTTCTGACCCCAGGAAGCTTCCCAGCCAGCGGGGATGTCTGCCTTTCAGCCTGAAGACACAGCTGAATGGCTGCTTGCCTGTCTCACAATAGGAAGGAACTTTCACTCTGTGAGGGGTGCTGTACCCCACAGCAAGGCCACGGAACAGCTTCATGTTTCTACTCCAGGCGTCTGGGCTATGCACTCCTAAGTTGGTTCCCTTGGTCCTGGCAGATGCCCAGTGGGGAACACACTTGTAGATCTGTTGCCGTGGTGTAGCACAGGTGTGTCTGCTTCTCAGCGGAGGCAAGTGTGGCCCATCTCTGTGTTTTGCATGAAGGGATGTATGTTCAGAGACAGGTACAAGGTACATCTGTGCTTGTCTGGCCATCCCCTGGGTCTCTCAAGTTGTGTTTCCTCTAGGACATAGAGAAGGTAGTACAAGGATGCCCAGCTGGGATGTTAGGATTGCCCTCCCCTAAGCCTGAGCCCGCTCATCCCAAGAAACAGGCAGCCCAGTCTCAGACTGGGACTACTTCTAGGGCCAGCAAGACAACCTCATCACTGATACTTTTCATCTCAAAAACACCCTGGACTCCTAAGTCCAGAGCTGCTTCCCCTACTTTTGAAAGAATTGGTTCTCACATAGCAGCAGCCTATGTCTTACAAAAGCACTTTAGCAGATGCTGTAGTGCAACTTCTAGATGGCTTAGGTTAAGCTGCAGAAACAGCTCGGTTGTATCATATCCTGCGGTGCCTGGCCCTGCTCTGGTGAGCATTTCTGGCTGCTTGCCTGCAAGGAATCCACTAGAAGCAGGTGGCTGTTGAGAGAGGTTAGCTGTGATTTCTAGACCTCGTCATATGACTCCACGTAGTTACCCTAAGAGATGAGATGATATTTCCTCCATTCCTTCATTCTTGGGGTTTTCCAGATCTTAGCATTCATTGGTACTGGCTAATACAATCTCCTAAGGAAAAGTTTGAGATTCAGACATCCTGAAGATCATCACAAACTCAGTGCAGGTTTTGCAACAGAAACTGTTGCAGGCTTGCTGCTGCTAGTCTCACCTCTATGGTCTGTCAGTTTTATGAGTTTTAATTTCTAGTATTCTTTATTTCTCTCTCTCTTGCTGCACCTCTGCACGAATGCTAGTATTATACCACTGAGCCCCACCCACAGCCCACTAGATATTCTTTTTCCCCATTCAAAATTAATAGCTACCCATAGACGGTGCTTCCTAAGTGTTTTACAGATATTATGACAATCCTCATAAACCCTCATAGGTACTTACCATCTTTATTTTGTAGACAGGTGAATTGCAGAGAGGAAGTGGCAGCCAGTGGGTAGTGGGGCTGGGATGATGGAGAGGATGTTTAGCTACTGTCCTGTTACTTTTGGCTGTAGGTACAGGGTAGGAAGCTAGCACTAAGTAATACCTGACTTTGGCACTGCCCATAGGATGATCATGAGCCATTCAGATAAAATGGGAAGGAAACTGGTGACTATTTGGGATCTTTACTTTTCATTGAGCAGTGGTCTTTCCTTCCCACATAGTTCTGCTATTTCTCTCTGCCCTTACTCAGCACTGTGCCTGTGATGTGAGGGAGCCTGCCCTTTGGCTGCCTCTCTCAGGTTCTGGGGTTGTTTCCTTTTGGGCTTCCAACCAGGGCACAAGAATGTGGCCTGACTCAGGTTCTACACAAGCCTAGTGGCATGAGGCCCACCTGGGAGAGAGGTCAGGGAATCAGGTTGGTTGGACTGAGAAGCAGCTACCTCTTGTTTGCCTTTCTAATAATAGCCCAGAGATTAGCCTCTTGCCATTATTTTGGGGAGCGTGGAATGCATGGCAGCCGCAAGCTCATTAAGCTCCATTCCCTTTCCTCCAGGGATGAAGCCTGGCCGGGCGGTGACTTCATTTCTTTTATGGAAAGGGGAAACTGAGGAGTAAGGATGGTAGTGAGCTAGCATCACAGTCAAGATAGAACTGAAGAATCTTAGTCTCCAAGTTCTTCTCCACGTTGAGCTGCCCTTGAGAATGGGGAAGTGCAGGGCTGAGGAAACGGGATGGCTAAGGGAGGATGGGATCAGGAGACAGGAGGACCAGCCCTTCTGGGCCTCTGGCAGCTGGTAAGATTGAGATCCATGCTGAAGCCCGAGTCTTGTCTCTGGAGGGCTCACCGGAGGGTACGGGAGGAAGGTTAGATTTAACTCTGGTATCCTGACCTGGTGCTGGGGTAAGGCTAGGGAAGAGCATAGACCAAGTAGTGAAAATGGAGAGGACCTCTTTTCCAGGTCTTTGGGGTGGCTGACAGGCAGCACATTCACTCTCATGCTCATGTGCTTTGTCGAGAGGGTTTCAGAGGACAGATCAGCTGAAGGTCTCTGTGCTCTTAAGATGGCCTTTTCTAGGGATATTCAGCAGGAGATAATAGGGAATAAGGAGCTGAGTGTGGTGGCACTTGCCTGTGGTCCCAACTACTCAAGATTCTGAGCCAAGATGATCACTTGAGTTTAAGGCTAGCTTGAGCAACACAGCAAGATGCTATCGCTAAAGAAAAGGAAAGGGAGAGAGAGAAAAAGAAAATAGAATCCAGCCTCCCCTTCTGGAGAGGACCGCATTGAGAGCCTGCTGGTTACTGTGTTACTGTTCAGCTGGGAAAGCCTGGCTGTGTGCGATGACTGTGCTGTCACCCAAGCTCCTTGTGATAGCCCAGGGTCTGGATGCTTTGATTTAGTGAAGTCCTAGAAGGTGTGTGGCTTCCTGGAGTGATTAAATGTCCCTGTTATTTTCCAAGTTTCCATGGTTTCGAGCAAGGGGAGGTAGTGGAATAAAAAGGAGCCTAGAGGGGAGAGGGACTGAGGCTAAAGGGGAAACCTTCCACAATGCTATTTATAACCTGGCCCCCATTTCCTCAAGCCCAAAGCTCTGTGGCCACAGTTGGGTGTCCTGCTGTTCAGCGCTGGGGTCAGCCTGGGAGAGATGTGGATGGGTGTGCTACTGCCTAGGAGCTTGGGGCTGAGTGTGAGTGCGTACAAGCAGATTGCATGCGTGGGTCCTGGGGTGGGGATAGCATAGTGGGGAGAGTAAGTGTCAAGTACAGAAGCACAGGCTAGCATGTGCAAAATGCATTCTGACTGGAAGAGGAACTGTGTAGGACTGAGCTTGCAAAGTGTGCACATGGATGTCTGTGCCCAAGCACTTATCTGCTGTGGATTTAGATGTCACCTACAACAGAAGATGTTTCCGTCCAGAATTCTGAAAGCCAGGCAGTCTGCCCTGGCCCGGCAGAGCTTTGCCTCTCTGGTGGGCCTTAGCAAGAAATGCTGAGTGGAATCTGGCAGCTGTGCAGGCATAAACCTGTCAGGCAGCAAGTGCTCTGGGGGTTGCTGGCATCAGATCTAAGTGAGTGCCAAATGGCCCCCCAGTGGCTCCCACTAGCCTTTGCAGACCCGGCCATACAGCTGTCATGCCTCCCCACCAAGATGTCACTGTGGCTGCACCTTGCTGGCAGCAGGAGTGCTCCGGTGGTGCAGTTGGCAGTGGGGCGCAAACCTCAGGCGTGGGTGGCAGCTAGAAGTTTGCATGGAGGTGCGGCAAGCCTGGCTGGAAAGGAAGGAGGGAGGAGGAGGGCGGGAAGGGAAGCCAGCTCTGAGCCCCAGAGTGGCTGAGGCTATTTTTAGCCAGGCTATCTGATTGTCACCGGTGCATGCACAGCTGGGTGTCTCCCGGCTAGGGAGAGGTGGGATGGCCCTGCCTGTGACTCCTTCCTGGTGTCTGTGTGTGGGCGGAGCCAGTGTTAAAGGTGTGAGCACAGCTGTGCACTCCAGATATCTTCTGTGTGGGATTTTGTGCCTGTTGGTGATGTGTGCTGTGCAGCTCATGTTGGGTGTGTGCTCTGCTGTTTGTGTATCAATTTTGTATCATCCTTTCCTGGTTGTCAATATAGTTTATGCCCAGATGGGTCTTGTGTGTGGGATTAAAAGGCCTAATGCTCCTACTGTATCCGATATGAAAGATCTTCACCAGCATTGGCTTGGGCTTCCTTGGCATGTGCTTGTGTTTCATATACATACACGTGTGCTACTTACCTATGGATGTGCTATGGAAATATAACAAATGTCAGGTAACTGACGAATGCACTTCAGCTAAACTTAACTGTTCTGAGTTAGGTTTTCTCCTTTAAACATAATCCATCAGAGTTTTAACATACTGAATTGTAGAGCTCTGCTCAGTAAGGACAGTTGAGGTGTGACGTTTGTTGTCTGGTCCTACACAAAGGGAGAGTCTTAGTTGTGCTGTGCCCTGCGACATGACGTTAAGTAGCAGCCCATGCTTTGTCTGGTGCCAGAACTGCTGGAAGGTTCTTGGAATGCTGGTTGAGAGCCATCCCCTTAGAGGATTTTCTTGGGAATTATAGTGGGAAGAAACTGTTTCCCTGAAATATTAGGAAGTGGGTCTCTCTCTGTCTCTCTCTCCCTCTCTTTCTCTCTCTGTTTCTTTTTCTCTTTCTATTCAGATTGAACCCAGGGCCTTTGCACTGAGCTAGAGCTCTAGTGCTTTTCAGTTTTTGAGACAGGCATTTGCTAAGTTGCCCAGGCTGGGCTCAAACTTGTGATTGTGATCCTCTGCCCTCAGCCTCCCAGATTGCTAGGATTACAGATGTGCACTACTGCATCTGGCAAGAATTGGGTGGCTCTTGCCTGCAGGACCCAGAGGGAACACTCATCTGTTTCATGCCCCACTTTGCTGTCTTTGCCACAGAGCCCAGAAGCACCATGGCTTCTGACTTGGAGAGCAGCCTTACCTCCATAGACTGGCTCCCCCAGCTGACCCTGCGGGCCACCATTGAGAAGCTGGGGAGTGCTTCACAGGCGGGGCCTCCGGGAGGCAGCCGCAAGTGTTCCCCGGGCTCACCCACTGATCCTAACGCCACCCTGAGCAAAGACGAGGCTGCAGTCCACCAGGATGGCAAACCACGATACAGCTATGCCACTCTTATCACCTACGCCATCAACTCGTCTCCGGCTAAGAAGATGACCCTGAGCGAGATCTACCGCTGGATCTGCGACAACTTCCCCTACTACAAGAATGCAGGCATCGGCTGGAAGGTGGGTCTGCACCTGTAACTCAGCCTTGGCCTTAGTCTCTGACAACTCTTTTCTCTGCTTTTGTTCCTTCAGGTAACTTGGTCCAGTTCACTCTGCCTTGTCTCAGAGATGCTTAAACTTAAAATTTCGTGTCTTACTCTTTTTTTGAACAGTTTTCGTAAGGTCTGCCAGTAAGGCCAGGCCTTTTAAGTATGGTTGTGGGGAGGCAGGATGCTGTTGGTCATCACACTCTTTTTATCTTCCAGCTACTTAGAAAGGATACTCCCTCATTTCACAAAGATTTATTTCCACTTTACCATTTTCAAATCAAGGCACAAGGCATGATCTAGTTCCTGTCACCCAGAGGCAGGAAGCCTGTCGAATTTCGCAGGCTTTGTTGCATACAGTCATCATCTTTTGAAAAACTGTATACCAAGGAAAAACAGTGTCTCACTAGGTCCTTTACCAACACCTGGTCTGCCAGGCAAGTAAAGAGTGGTTGTTTGGACAGAGATGAAGAAGGGGCTTCTCTTCCAAGTGAAGGAGGAAGAAGGAAGGCTGATGTCCTCACTATTGCAGAGCAGTTGCTCATTGGCAATAGCACTTGACTGTCATTTTCACCCTCCATTCATCATCAGTCAGTGTACCAACCAGGTGATGTGGCGTAACCTGTGGGAAGCAGCCAGCCTCCCTCTGTAAATGTGCCCCGCTGTACCACAGCTTCCAGCTCCTCATGCACATGTTTACAACCCCGTTTCTGCGCTCCAGGGGTGACCATCTGCTGGGCCATTGAGAACACGGAGGTGATTTGTGCCTGTTTCACTCCTGATTTGTATTTTCTCATAAGTTACAGAAACAGTTTTTCAATCATGCCCTGTAAATTACACAAGCACTTTTTTCCCCCTTTTTGAGACAGGGTCTCGCTATGCAGTTCAGGGCGGCCTCGAATTCACTTTGTAGCCCACGTTGGTCTCGAACTCATAATAATCCTCCTGCCTCAGCCTCCTGAGTGCTGGGATTATGGGTGTGAGCCACAGCCCAACTAAGTCACAGAAACAGTTTAAAAGGTTCTTTTGCTGTAGATGGAGAAGGCTGAGGAACTCAGCAGGTGGTGGTGTGAAGTATTTAAGTACCTGTTGCCAGTGGGAGGCAAGGGTGGGGAAAATGTATAATTGGCTCTGCAAAAGCACTGATAATCACATTTATAGCCATCGTGTCTTAAATTTCTGCATTTTTTTATGCCATTGTCCTGATTTTTCTTTTTTTTTAAAACTGGGGATTGAAACCAAGGTTTTCACACTAAGTTACATCCTCAGACCTTTTTAAAATTTTGAGTCAGGGTCTTGCTGAGTAGCTCATTTACCAAGGCTGGGCTCAGCCCTCTTGCCTCAGCTTCCAGAGTGCTTGTGTTGCAGGTATGCATCACCATCACTGGCTTCATTGCACTTGATTTCTGATACATGATTCCTGCCATTTGTATAGTCAGAGAATCCAGATTTACCTGATACTTGAACTTTATTGTGTAATGTGTTAGAATAATTGGAAGTGTTTGCATAATGCTTACATCTAATTTGCTTCTCTACTTCCCCAGAATTCCATTCGGCACAACCTTTCTCTCAACAAGTGTTTCCGGAAGGTGCCCAGACCTCGGGATGACCCTGGGAAGGTGAGGTTCGGCTGTGAGAACCAGAGGAGCAAGGAGAGGGAAGTAGTTGAGGGCCAGAGGCCATGACTGCTTTAATTATCCCATAGAGGAAATTATGCTAATTAGAGAAGCATTTTGACTTTCCCTGGGAGGAAGAGCTTGATTGTGAAGCTTGTGGGCTCCCACTAGGTGAGTAAGGGAGATTGTGAAAAAAATTTTTTTTTTTACTAGAAATCTTTGTGGTACATTTGGCTTTGAGGCCCCTTTCTTTTATGGCACTGTTTTGTAGATGTAAAAGTTTGATTTCATAAGCTTTTTTTTTGTCTTTTTGAGACAGGGGCTTACTATGCAGTTTGGGCAGGCCTTGAGCTCACTTTGTAGCCTAGCCTGATCTCAAATTTGCAGTGATCCTCCTGCTTCAGCCTCCCAAATGCTGGGATCATAGGTGTGCGCCACTTTGTTTTTTGAGACAACCTTTCAGTATGTAATTCAGGTGGGCCTCGGATTTACTGGGTAGCCCAGGCTGGCCTCGAATTAACAGCGATCCTCCTATCTCAGCCTCCTGAGTGCTATAATTATAGGTATGCGCCACCATGCCCAGCTCAACTTCATAACCTTTATGGAAACTTTTCTATAGAAAAATATCTGGTGTTTGCCTCAAAGGAAGAATGAATGGAGCAGCATACTTCTGTTTGACATGTTTGACAGATATGAATGTAAATTCAAGAACTTTGCCTCAGGTCACAAGGGAAGGGAAGGGCTCGCTGTGGACATTCTTAGCTCTCTGAACTAAAGACCATTGTCTAAGCCTTCTGAATAACTGAGGCCCTCTCTGAGTTCAGCAGCGTGCTGGGACACTCTGAGCTTGTAGGACAGTAACTCCCAGTACCCTCAGGATCCAGAGTGGATGTCTAGCCCTGTCTCAGCCCCTCTATTTGACTTTCTATCTATTTGTGATTCTGGGGATGGACCAAGGCTTCACACATGTTAGGAAAGCGCTCTACCAGTGTTTTCTAACGTGACTGTATGTTATGTGAAAATTTTGCTACATGTCTGTTTCCAAAAGATGGGAACTTCTTTTTATTCTTTTGGTCCCGAGAACCAGGATTAGGAATTTGCACTTGCCAGGCAGGTGCTTCACCACTAAGCTATATCCCTGGCTTCTATGAGAAGTTCTAGGTGATGAGAACTTCTAGGTGATGGTTTTATTCTCAGTGGGGCTGGGTCCTTCTTGCAGGGCTCTTACTGGACGATTGACACCTGCCCTGACATTTCCCGGAAGAGGAGACATCCTCCGGATGATGACGTGAGTCCCTCCTACCTGTCCTTGCTGGGATACCCAGTCCTTTCCAGAGCAGAATTGATGTGGGATGGGGGAGCTACAGGTCACGGCAAGACACTGCTCACTTGCTCATGGATTTCCCTTCCTTCTTGCCTGCAGCTCTCCCAAGACTCCCCGGAACAAGAGGCCAGCAAGAGCCCTCGGGGAGGTGTCCCAGGGGGCGCAGAAGCCTCGATGCCTCCGGAGGGGAACCCTGCGGGGCCACTTCAGAGTCCTGCCTCTGTGGCCGGCTACAGCCAGGTGGGAAGCTGCAGGCATGCAGGGCCAGCGCTGGGTGATGGGGGATCAGCTGGAGAAGAAGGGAAAAGGAAAAAAACCTGGAGAAGAAAAAGGAGAGGCTCGAGAAGGAGACAGGGAGAGGGCAGAGCAGAACTCTGGGAAATATCAGGAAAAAAGTGGAGAGAAGAGTACAAGGAAAGCCAGCAAGCTGTGTAAAGGGGAGACGGATAAATAAGAATATTTGAAGGAGAAACAATGGTGGGAGAAAGGAGGGGAAAGTGGCCTGGTGTCACTGAACATCTGGAAGACGATGAAGAGGATGAAGAGGCCAGACGGTGCCCAGCGCAGGTGAGGGTTCTGTTGGTTCCCCAGCTGGGGCATACCTCAGGGCTTCCTTGTTTTCACAGGGCACAGGGTCTGTGGATGGCGGAGCAGTGACTGCAGGGGGTCCAGGGCGGGAGAGCACAGAGGGTCCCCCTCCCCTCTACAACACCAACCATGACTTCAAGTTCTCCTACTCAGAGATCAACTTTCAGGACCTGAGCTGGTCCTTCCGCAACCTCTACAAGTCCATGCTGGAGAAGTCCTCCTCCTCACAGCACGGTGAGCTGGCATTGGGATGGCCTCAGGGACACCCACAGCTGTGTATCTCTTTGAAGTTTTTTTGCTCTGAACTCAGGACCTTCACGCTGAGCTCTATCCCCAGCCAGGGTGTCACCATGTTGCCCTATCTAGGCTCAAACTTTTGATCTTTCTGCTTCGGCATCCCAGAGTGCTGGGATTACAGGTCTGTGCCACTGGGTCCAGCTCATCCTTGTGTTTTTTAATTAAGTGGTGACAGTCTCTTCTCTCACTTTTTATTTTTCGAAGCAGCTGATAGTGGCAGAAGGAGCATGTCATGAGCTGAAACGAGAGCTGGTTCAGGAGGCCACTGGGTCATATTAGCTTCAGAAGATGAGTTCGAGGATTGCTCCATCCACTGCCAAAGGCAGTCACTTTTGTTGTTCATTTTTCGGTACTGGAGCTCAAATCTAGGGCTGCGTTAATGCCAGGAAGATAGCACTCCCGAGCTGCATCCCCAGCCCAGTTCAGTGACCTTAGGGCTGCAGGTGGGCCATGTAGAAAGTGACCACTAGGGGACAGCAGAAGTAAGTATGCCCTGCCCAAGAGGTCCTGTTTCATTAGAACAATTTATTTTCATTTTTTAGTGTATTTCTATTTACATTACTTTTCATTACAAAAATTTTGAAATAGATCCCAAAACAGAGCAAAAAGTGTAATAAATTTCCGTGTTTCCATTACCTAATAGTTACCAGCATTTTTAAAAGTTTTATTTACTGTCTACATTTTTTGGAAATGAGTAATTTCATGCAGCTTTCAGAATCATTCACTTAGAGCTACAGTTTTTTTTTTTTCCTTTTTTTCCTTATGGTGTTGGAGATTGAAGCTAGAACCTTCACTTACGCTAGGTAAATGCTTTAGCACTTACTATACTCCCAGCCCTTTAAAATATTTTATTTTAAAGAGAAAAAACAAAAAAATTAAGAAGCAAACAGACAGTCATAATACAGCAAAAGCAAACTGACAGTAACAACAACAAAATACAATAGCAATACAGGATTTCAAAATAAGATGGTAGGAATTTAACAGTGGTTGTTATATTGCATATTGTTATTTCCAGAATAGTTGCTCAGGTTACCAGATATAAGGATGAAAGATTGACCAAACAATATAATTTTCTTTTGAGCTGTTTCTTTCCTTTTACCATATCTATTGTAACTGTTGGATCTGATTTAGTCTTTCAGTTTCTTACACTAGCGAGTTTCTTACACATGCAAGCCTGATTTATTTCATTTATGAGTGTGGTTTCTGATAGCATCCATTTGCCTATAAAAGCTTCAAGTTTATCATTTTTTATGGCTGAGTAGTGTTTCATTGCATAAAAATACCACATCTTTTTTATCCATTCCTCAGTTGATGCTGTCTCCCAGGAGGGCCGGGAGGGAATCCTGGAAGTTCCAGAACACTTGTCCTTCTAACCCTACAGCTCCTCTCTGAGCTCTTCCCTTTCAAGCCAGAGAAAGTCCCATTGAGTGAGACATGCCTGGCCTAAGTCATGGTCTCCTTCCTCCCATCCCTGCAGGCTTTTCGTCTCTCCTGGGGGACATGCCACCCTCTAACAACTACTACATGTACCAGCAGCAGCAGCCGCCACCACCTCAGCAGCAGCAGCAACCAGCGCAGCCACAGCCATCTGCCCAGCAGTCACAGCCACCGCAGCAGCAGCCACCAGCTCAGGGCCCCTCAAGTGTAGGGGGCGCCCCACCCCTGCACACCCCGAGCCCTGATAGCTGTACCCCACCAGGGGGGAAGCCAGCTGGGGCTGAAGGCTACGGGCCGCCCCCTGTGATGGCCATGCATGCGGCACCACTGCAGCACAGCGCCTACCACCCTCATCAGCATCACACCCACCCGCACCCTGCCCAGCCGCCGCCCCAGCAGCAGCAGGCGCCAGGCCAGGCGCCCATCAACAGTCCTGGCTTTGGTGAGTGTGGAGAAAGCCCAAAGAGGGTAAACAAGCCTTGTTCTCTCTGCCAGGGAGGCTCAGTGGGCTGGGAACTTCATGGTGGGTCTTCTGGCCTCTGTCCCTGGCAGCTCATCTCAGCAGGTGGAAGTTGCTCCCCAGAGCTGTATGTGGTAGAAGGTTTGGGGATTGAGGAGCTCTTTGCTGCTGCCCCCACCCCCTATCCTATTTTCAAGGACGAATTAGGGTTGTTTTGTATCTTTTCCTATGAGCTGGGCCACACCTAAAGCACAGATAACTGTATCAGTCTTAAATCCAAGAGGGTGTGAAACTTAGCCAACAAGGGACACTGTCTCACAGCCGCTGTTCTCTCTCAGCCTTTCCTCCTGACTGGTGCTCCAACATTGACTCTTTAAAGGAGAGCTTCAAGATGGTGAATCGGCTCAACTGGTCCAGCATTGAGCAGTCCCAGTTTTCAGGTGAGAGCTTAGGGGATGATGTACAGAGGGACACGCAGTAGAGGACACAGCCTAAGCGGAAAAGCCTGCAGAGGTGGGCCTGGGTAGCTGAAGCTTGGAGGTTGAGGATTGCATTGTTTCCCTTCTGAGTTGTACAAGATGACTCACACTGATTACAGTTTTCAAGTTAATTTTGCCTCAACTCATGGTATGGCAGTGGCTTATTCTTGTCAGTTTTGTGTTTGGGAGAGGAAAGGCTCCTGGGAACTTGGAGACCCCTGGATCCTTGCCGTGTAGTAGAGTCACCGAGCCAGTCACTTTGAAATGTGTTATTCATCAGTAAGATGGAAATCGTGCTGCTAAGGAACAAACAGAATGGGAGTTTGAACCCGTGGAGCCCTGACTGATGTAGATTTCTGCTGTAAACACAGCTGACCTGGAGTATGAACTTCTGCTGTGGGCGGGGCAGAGCCAGGGATGGTTAGCTGAGGGCCTTTGCGCCTCTGTGAGCTCAGCATTGCTCCCTCCCTGTTGTAGAACTGATGGAGAGTCTGCGACAGGCAGAGCAGAAGAACTGGACCCTTGACCAGCATCACATTGCCAATCTGTGTGACTCCCTCAACCACTTCCTCACTCAGACGGGTCACATCCCCCCCCAGGGGAGCTCCCACCGACCAGCAGCTCCCGCCCGGATCTCGGACTCCTGTGCCCTCACCAGCGGCAAACAGGAGCCCGCCATGAACCAAGGTACTGCACCAAGTGGGTTGCCAAGGAGGTGGGGGGGGGGGTGAGGTAGAAAGGAGGGGTGGGAAGAGCAGAAGATTCAAGAGAAGACATTTTATGTACATTTGCCCAAACTGAGCTGTGGGCCTTTTTTTTTTTTTAAAGACAGGGTCTTGGTATGTAGTCCAGGCTGGCCTTGAACTCACTTAGAATGATGCTGTTGTCTCAGCCTTCCAGTGCTAGGATGACAGGTGTACACCACTGTGCCCAGCTCTGGAACTGATGTGTTAGTGGCATTGACTGAAAAGTTGTCCTGAAACATGCAAAAGAAATAGGTCTCAGTCTGGGAGATCAGGCTTTGGTCTGGGAGATTGGAGTTGAGGAAAGGGAAGAAATACCTTAGAGACCCCATTCCAAATTCTGTCTCCATGACCCTTACCTGGATCCTATCGCTAGTCAAGTGTATGAGACCAGTGAAAGGTGACTCCATCGTGTCTGTGTTTGTCATACTTGGAGTTTTGATATTTCACAATTCTGGTGTCCTACACAGTGAGGCTGGTAGCATTTGCAGAACTCCTATATTGCCTAAGAAGCTTTAGAATGAGGCAGGAAGGGAGAAAGAGATTAGAGAGAGAAAAAGATACACTTTCTCCGCCCTGTTGGGTACGATGACCACAGCCACCCAATGACTCTTGTCTTGCTTTGGCAGTGAACTCCTATGGACACCCACAAGCACCCCACCTGTACCCTGGCCCGTCACCCATGTACCCCATCCCCACCCAGGACTCCACAGCATACAGTCGCCCAGGTAAGATTCCAGAAGTGAACTTCGTTTGCTTTCCTCAACCTTCCTTCTCTGCCCTTTTGCCTGAGCCTGCCAGAATGGGTGAGCCATCATGATTGTCAAGGCTGGAGGAGGGGATGGGTCACTGACTACAAAGTCACATGTGTCATTGATTCCATTTTTCATTCATGCATGCACATTTGGTGGTGCTGCAGCTTAAACCCAGGGCTTCACACATGTGAGGCAAATGTTGTGAACCACACCTCCAACCCTAGATTGCTTTAAAATACAATTATAATTGCAATAATAAAAGAAAATGAGCATAAATATGAGCTGAAAATACTCATGTGGGCCATTTGTGTCTGGCTTTTGAATCTAGATGGAAAATATACTTACTTAGGCAAATAAAATGAATGTCTGTCACTTGACCACTAGTGTCACGGGCTTGGGATTGGACCCCCTTTTTTTTGTGTAATGCTGAGGACGGAGCTTCTGCATCAAAGCAGGTTTCTCCCACTGAGCTGCTCACCTAGCCCAGGTCTGAACTATCTTTGATAGTGGGGGGAAGAAACACTGAATTGTCACAGTAAAAATTAATGGAGCCTTCATATTTAAATACATTTGGCCAGTTGTGGTGGTGCACATCTGAGATCCCATCATTGAGAGGCTGAAGCAGGAGGATTGTTGTGAGTTCAAGGCCAGCCTAGGTTATAAAGTGAGTTCAAGACCAGCCTGAGCTACCTACTGAGAACCTGTCTCAAAAAGACAAAAACCAAACCAAAGCAAACCCCAAAAACAAAGTGAATGCAAAGCCAGCTGTAACTTCATAATGAAACTCTGTCCAAAAATGCAAAAAATATCCTTGTAAACGCGTGGTTGTAAGTTTGATCCCCAGTACCAAAAAAAAAAAAAAAAAAAAAACCCAAACCAAAAAAATCATATATACATACACACATTTAGAAAACTAACTACAGTGTTTTCCAGTTTTTGGATAACATTTGACTTTTTGTCCATGTGATGATATGACGTAAATACATATTTCTGTACTGCTATTTCATAAAATACTATATTTATATTTTATCATTATGACATAATCTGTATCAGTGAAATTTATTTATTTAGAGTACTGGAGATTGAACCCAAGGTCTTCACAGTGAGCTACATGACCAACTCTTTTTTAATTAATTAACTAATTAATTTATTTTTAGTTTTGAGTTTTTGCTATGTGTTCAGACTGGCCTTGAATTAACTATGTAGCCTAGGCTGGCCTTGAACTCAAGTGATCCTCCTGCCTCAGCCTGACAAATGCTGGGATTATAGGTGTTCCCCACCACACCTAGTTTTTTATTTTGTGACAAGGTCTGTCTAAATTGTGCAGCCTGGCCTTGAATTTGTAGTCCTGCCTCAGCCTCCCAGTGTGTGCTATTTGTCCTGCTATAAGTATAATTTTAGTGGGAGAATATTTTATTACCATGGAACCTAATTTACTCTTATGGATTTTGTGAAGTCACCCCCAAAAGCGGTGGCCTGTAACGAAAGTACCTCTAGACTGATAAAGCAGTAGGTTTGCCCAGCCTTCTTCATATTGTTATGCAGACTGAGCACTGTATCTAGACGGATGGGCAGCTTCTCACCAGGTCTCCTGTAACCCTCTTCTTCCCTGTAGCACACCACATGGTCCCTCGGCCACAGGTCCCGCCTCCGGGTGCCAGTGAAGAGATCCCTGATGACTTCGACTGGGACTTGATTACTTAAAGCATCACAAGTTTGGACATCAGCCCAGGGCCTGGTGGCGAAGTCTGGCCGGGGAAGAGAGCAGCCCGCCTGTCCCCTCTCCACCTGTACATAGATATATATCCTCTTTCTGTTCTTCCTCTGTCAGAGAAGCCACCACGAGATGCTGCCGAAGATACTCCCCTTTCTTGCCTCATTCTTCTCTCTTCTTTTCTGTTTTTCCCTCATTCTTTTATTATTATTCTAATTATATTATTATTGTTAATATTATTCTTGGTTATATACTATCTTCCATCTCTTGTCTCCACACCACGGACCCAGTATATACCTTGCTAATTTAAAATCATTGGGCTGGAAGACGAGGTCACAATAACTGTAGAGAAACGGTGCAGATTCCAGGTCACCTTTCTCTTTGAGAAACTCACTGTTAAGTTGTTAACTCAGCACTAGGTTGTTTTCTGTTCCTGTCTGTTTCAGGCTGGGACTGGAAAGGTTATCTTACCAAGTAGAAGGAATCTAAAACTTTGCAGGTTTTACTCAATGGTGCTAATTCTGCCCTCTGAGCTCTTTTTTGTCCCTCTGTCCCTTCAATCCTTACTTTTTCTGACAATCCTTATTCCTACAGAGGGTGAGAGTAAGATTTTAATAGGATAACAGCCTGGGTGGGCTGAGTAACTTTTACAAAAGAGACAGGATGGAAGCCAGGGGGAAGCCGGGTGTGTGTGCACATCCATGGGCTCCTGCCTGGGTTGGACTCTGCTCCAATTCTGCTTCTATGGTAGCCCAAGTGGACAATATTCAGCATTAGTTCAGCTTCTTGGAGATGATTTCATTTTAGCCATTTTGGCTTTCAAAACAGAATTCTCTGGAAACTAACTGCAGCTCTTACTTGGATTTACAAATCATCCTCCTTTGCCTTTCCCCATTCAGTATATATTATTTTGTCTTCTCATTGGCCGCCCAGATCGTCCCCTCATCTTATATTGTTCCTCCACTTTCTGGGATTCTGAAGAGAAAGGAAGCCGTTGTGACTGTGGGTGTCATCATGACCCTGACGTGGTGTGGGGGTGGGGGTCTGTCCTCACCAGCCATGCAGAGTCAGACCTGTGTCATGGGTGGGAGGGCTGAGGAGAGGGAAATGAGCTGGCATAGATGTGAGGAGGGAGGCTTTCTTGTGTTTAGCTGAATTGGCAGATGCTTCTCTTGAAATCTAGATCATGGGGCTTGAAGCTTTTAAGGGGTGAAGGACACTGGTGAGGGGGCAGATGGTGTAGAGGTGGGGTCAGTCAGGCTCCCGGCGGCTCTTGGAAGAAGGCGTGGGGGCAGCATCTGTCCTCTCACCAGCGTGGCCATGATTCATTGCTGCGGATTCTTAGTATACATTTAATATTCATTGCTGAGTTTGAGTTAGGAGAGAGAGGAGTAGTTTTACTTCTGTTTTTTATTTGACTAAATTTTCCCTTTCTATAAACTGCAGGAGAGACTGTGTGGTGTGAGCCAGGCCGTGCTCTCTGTGACATCTGCTTTTCTTCATCCTCTTTCATTTCTTCACTATCTCCAAGCTGTCGGGCTGCCTCCTCTCCGGCTTTCCTCCTCATCACCCCTGTCCTTTCTTGGAAGGGGGCTCTGCACGAGAGTTTGTTGAAGTCCAGTGTGGCTGAAGTAAGGGGCCAGTAGGGCAGTTCACTAAAGAGCACTTTATTTCTTTGAAGCCTTTGTAAGAAAGATGGGGCGGGTTGGGGAGGGGACTTGAGTCCCCCATTGTGTTGGAGGGCGCTTCGTGAAGGGTGATGCAATACTTCCCACTGGGGAAAGGAGCCTTTCTCATTTCTAGGAGGGGGCAAAGGCCTTTGCCCAGCGTCCTTGTGTCAGGCACCTCTTCTTTATTCCTCCTGTTCAAGGTGTGTCCTACACACAGCTTCCCTTCCGGTCTTCCTGAGATTCCCACTTTACAGATTAACCCACCTCTTTTCTAAACCCCTTTTCCCATTCGAGCCCATGCAGGGTTAGGGAGGGTAGATGATGTGGTACACACAGGCAGCCCTTGTTCTTCTGTGTCTTTCGAAAGTGAGTCACATTAAGAGCTCTGGAGGCAGCCAGAGTAGCCGCAGTGTGGGGCTAGACCTGGAGACCGCTCTTCAGGACCCCTGAGCTTGCAGGTCCTGTTCCCCAAACTCAGCCTTGCTAATAGCTCAGGACAAACCTGACTTTCGTGGGCCTCAATTTTTCCCTCCCCTACATGAAATGGAAAGAATACTACTATTGTGGGTCCAGCTTTGCTGGAAACGAAGTCCAGTCTTTGTTGTCGTATTGGGTGATATGTGCAAAATTGCAGAAGTTCACTGCCCATAAGAGGAAATAAGGGAGAAAGCTAGGGAGCGGGACAAAGGAGCAGTTGTTTGGTGTCAGTCCATCCATCCCAGGCTTCCTCTCCTTAATTCCCGCTCCCCTCTGCCACCATGTTTCTGGTTTGATGAGTCCTTAATGCCACCCATAATGCTTTGCATCGGTGCAGGCTGGGAAGGGGTATGTGGTCTCACAAGTTGTGTTGTTTTTTTTGCATGCTTTCCTAATAAAAAAAAAGATTTCCAATTTTATCTTACTTGTATTGGTCTCCAGTTTCTTTTTTCTAGGGCAGGAAAGGAGAAATGTGGAAGAATTTGGCTTCAGTTGGGTTTTAGCACTTCTCCTGCCTCCCACTACTGGGATTAATTAGTCAGTTGAACCCTGACTTCTCCTTTGTGGTAAGATTGATGATAAGAATTAAGGGTGCACCTTTAACAAAACTTCTTTCAAGTGCTGTTAGAGATAGTGAACGCCTGTTGGGAGAGTCAGTCACTCCTTATATGTTGACAGATGGGTAGACCCACATTGCTTGCATTCTAGGATATAGTTTAAAGATTCAAGGTGCTTGGTTCTGGGGAAGGATTTTGTCCCTGTCTAGGACTACCTGAAAAATAAGAGTACAAAACAGTTATATTCACTAGAAGGAACGTTTTTTTCCCTCCTGGAAATGAGACAATTCTAATTAGAGAAATTTCAAAGTAACAAAAACTGAAAAGGAGTCCAGAAATGCCAATTATTCACTGTGCATTCAGACTTCATAACCATGCCACAATTATTCACCTAATACCCGTTGGTCTTAAATTTGCAACAGTATTATTAACCTCAATAGTTTGGAAACTTATACACCAGGTTTTGTCTGATTTATTTGGGTTCCCAGAAGCCTGGGTAATCCCTTTTGTGTCAAATCTAAGTCACTGTGAGGTTTTTTTGCTTCATAGTTAGAGGTTATGATACATTTGGTATGTTCAAAAGGATCCATGAATTTCTAAATCTTGTAAGGAGCCATGGAAATACATAAATGAAATTTGAGAGGTAACCCCACAAGTCTTGCGTTATTACCTTGCAGACATTATTACCTTGCAGCCTCCTACAGAATTCCTCATGATTTGAAATTTTTCTACTCAGTACTTTACAACAGATTGATAGTCCGGTGTCTCACCTCAACAATGAAACAAATAATAATGTCTTTCAAGTCTTAAATATATCCCATTTGCTACTTTTTAGATTGTAATATATGAGGCTATGTTGTATATAAGGCTGAAATTTCAAAGGTTTAACACATAAAAGTATACACTGAGACAAAGAAGGGGGCAGGACTTGGGTATTTTACAAATCAAAGAAAGTTTATTGCCACACTTTATTGTTGGTAAGGTACAGAATCAGCCTAAGTGCCCATCAACAGATGAACAGAGAAAGAAATGGTATATATAAACCACAGAGTCTTATTCAGCTATGTAGAAGAATACAGTCCTATCATTTGCAGGAAAACAGATGGGATTATGTAAGTGAAATAAGGGAGATACAGAAAGACAAGTAATGCATATGCTCTTACATGTGGAAGTTGAAAAGAGCTAACCTCAAAGAATATTTGTCAAGGCGAGGGGTTGGATTTGATCAGTGTATGCTGCATGCATGTGTGGAAATACCATACTTTAACTAAAGTCAAGAGGGCCTATTAAACATTTAACAGGTCCCCATAGCCAGAAGTGTTGATTTAGGAACCCCAGGATGCGACTTGCATTTCTAACACTTTCCAGGTCAGGGTGCTGTCTATAGTCCAGGCCTATACTGTGAGAACAACTGGATTGATGGCTAGTTTCTGATTAGCATATCCCTCCTCGGAATATCTTAGGTTGGCTGCTCTATCTTTTTGAAACAGGGTCTTGCTATGCAGTTCAGGCTGGCCTTGGGCTCACTTTGTAGCCCAGGTTGGTCTTGGATTTGCAACAATCCTTTTGCCTCAGCCTCCCAAGTGCTGGGATTACAGGAATGCACCACCATGCCTGGTGGCTGCTCTGTATTTTTACACATTTGTACTCAAGCTGTGTTTTTCTGAAAAGGCTTTGGCTTGGATAAAACTGGTAGACTTGCTGATATCCTCAGAGAAGGCTGCCTCCAGAATGCCCTTCATGGACTGTCTCACTCGCTTCCTAAGATCTCTCCCCAAGAGGGCGTAAAGGAAAGGATTAAAGCAACTGTTAGCAGATGCAAGAGCAATGGACACGTGGTCCCAAGACAACAGAGCTGCCCCAACGCGACTTTCCGGGTTAATAAACAATATGAGGACTCCAAAAACATGATATGGAGCCCAGCAGATAAGAAAGATGGTCACCACCACCATGGCCAGGTGAAGGGCTTTGTTCCAAGACTTGACAACGCGGACCCGTCGCATTCGGAAGATGATGAGAGTGTAACAGGCCACCATGATGATCATAGGCAGCAGGAAACCCACCACTAGTCTTGTGAAGGTTATTACTTTTAAAAGTCTTGGTGTTCGATATTCATGTGTGAACGGGCTTAAATCATCCCAGAAGTCTTGTGGTGGCTCAGGTGTGGATAAGCACTTTTGGGTTGCATTGGAGACATCTAAATCAGAGGAGAGAAAAGCAGCATTATGCAATGTGTTAGTTCTGTTCTCTTCCATAGGAAGCCCACAGAGGTTTGTGGGTAAGACTACATCAACATATTTACCTTGACCAGATAATTTTGCAGAATCCATATGAAATGAATCTTCAGAAGGTCTTTGAGATGTTTGAGAATAAAGGGTAGTGGTGACTGACCAAGGGCCATCCTGTGTTTGGAAAGAAGAAGGATCTGATCTATGTTCCATTTCTCCAGGCAGCTGGACAATGGGGTCAGGAGTTCCATAGCCCCATGCATCTCGGTCATAGGCGTAGTCTAAATAGTCGAATGATCCGGGACTAAAATTATAGGTACAGATAGTGTGGTTTTCTAGAGTGAACGTTTCTCGGTACACAAACACAGGTATACACAGGACAAAAGCCACCAGCCAAATGCATCCACAGATAATGCAGGCTGTTCTCACATTGCGATGATTCTGGCACCAGATTGGCTTGAGTACCATCAAGCACCGGTCCAGGCTAATAGCAGTAAGCAGGAAAACGCTAGCGAACATGTTGAAGATGATGACAGTTGGGATAAACTTGCAGAGTATCTCGCCATAGGGCCAGTACCCTCGGAGAGCCAAATGAGCCATGGAGAAAGGCAAGGAGAGGCAGCAGACGAAGTCTGCCACGGTGAGGTGAAGAAACCAAACTGTGTTCACTGTGCGCCGCATCTTCAGGCCAGCCACCCACAGCACCAGCCCATTGCCGGGCAACCCCAGAACAAAAGTGAGGCCTAGGATGGCCATGGCCAGAATTGTTTCGGGTTGATACTGAGGTTCTAAGTGTAGGCCAGTTGAGTTGGTTTCAGCAGAGGAAGACTCCATGGCTAAATGTCTGCAAAAAGATGAAAGAAAACGTGACAGTGGACAGTGTCTTTGAAGGACATGTAGTTCTTAGAATTTTAACCTTTACACGTACTGACATGGTATCACAAACTACAAGGCCCTAAAAGTGTTTTAGTTTGTACTCCTTGTCTTCATATGAGAACGCACTAACATTCTCTGATAGACAATGTGAAATTCATGGAATTGATTTAAGTTGGTATCAAAATAATTTCATTTGAAATTATATCAGAGTAAATTTCTCTCCTCTCTTGTATTTTCAGTGTCTCATTTTCTACCAGCTCTTTTCTTCACTCAGTGTCCTCTATTAAAAATAAACAAATGAGCCAGGCATGGTGGTGCATGTCTACAATTCCAGCACTCAGGAGGCTGAGGCCTGAGGATTGCTGAGAGTTTTGAGGTCAGCTTGGAGACACAGTGGGTTGAAAGCCAGCCTGAATTGCACAGTGAAGCTCTGTCTCAATACAATGGATTGGGGATATGCTCAGTGGTACAGTGCCTGCCTGGCAAGTGCAAGGTTGTGAGTTTGATCACCGGCACCAAAAGAAAACAAAAACAACAGAAGAAGGTCTGTTTATTCTCTCCAACGGCCTTTCAAACAATTCTGCTACAATAAGAGCGAGTCAGTACTCGGTTATATTTGTTAGATGCAACTCTATCTGTTCTTGGTATCACATTTCTGAAGAGCTCTTTTTGTTTGTTTGTTTTGTTTTTTATAGACAGGGTCTCGATATGCAGTTCAGGCTGGCCTTGAGCTCACTTTTGTATCCCAGGCTGGCCTCAAACTCCAGGTGATCTTTTTGTCTCAGCCTCCTAAGTGCTGGGATTATAGGCAAACATTAGCACGTCTGGCTCTGAAGAGCTTTTGATCTTTGAATCAACTTCATCAATCATCTTTTTTTTATTATGTGCAATTTATAAATGTAACAACAGATAGTGTTATTATTGCAAAGCAGAAAATATGTGAATTGGAAAATACAGACGATTGGAGGGAATTGAAAAATTCAGACAAACCAAAACAAGAAAATATAAATGCAATGACCACCAGTGTTTGCTACTTTAATATCTTAATTTAATACCTCTAGATCCTTTATCAGGTATATGTGTTTGCATATGTGTATATATATATATATATATATATATATAATATATATATATTTCCTGTTTTACAAAATTGGATCATAGCATACATGTTTAAAATTTTTTTACATTATGGTGCATAAATATTACCACTTTAGCGGGGAAAAAGAATCATGTTATGTCATACACAGGCACAAATTCTGTATGATAAGTGTGATCATTGTGTATACCTAAAATGTACCAATAAACTTAATTAATTAAAAAATACCATTTTTAACTATTTTTAAATTTATTTTTGTTATTGAGACCGGGTCTTGCTTTGTAATACAGGCTGGCCTTGAATTCACTAGGTAGCCCACGCTGGCCTCAAATTTGAGGGGATCCTCCTATTTAATTTGTGATAATTTCCCTGCCTCACCCTCCCAAGTGCTGGGATTGCAGGCACGTGCCATCACACCCAGCATTAATCATGTTTAAGTGTGCAGTTTAGCAGTGTTTATTACATGCATTTTTTTGTTTGCTTTTTATTGTTTTTTGAGATAGGGTCTTGCTATATAGTTCAGGCTGGCCTTGAGCTCACTATGTAGGCCAGGCTGGTCTCAAATTTGAGGGGTTCCTCCTATTTAAACCTCCTGAGTTCTAGGATTACAGGTGTATGTCAGCATTGCCTGGCTATTAGGTGCATGTTGTTGTATAACTAATTTCCAAATTTTTTAATCTTGAAAAATGGAAACTTTGTATATGAAGCAATTCTTGGTTTTCTCCTCCCTGGTAGCCACCATTCTACTTTCCATTTCTGTGAATTTGCCCATGTGTTTAATGAACACGGAATCATACGGTCTTTGTTTTCTTGTGTATGGCTTTTCCTTACTTAGCATAATGCCCACCATACTGGAGAGTATGCCAGAATCCTTTGTCAGTCTAATACTGCACTGTGTGCATATACCACATTTCACCACTCCAATCCTTCCTCAGTGAACATATAGATTGTTTCCACCTGTGGGTTACTGTGACTAATGCATCCTTGAAATGGAAGTCAATGCATAGTTTCTTTTTGTTCTGTTTTCTGTTAGTAGGCTCCCACTATTCAGTAAGATTATTCCTTCAGGAATACTCAGTCTTTGTCTAATTACCTTCCAACTGTCCCCTAAATATCTTTTACAAACTGGTTCGTCCTCAATGGTATCCAGCATCACTCTTTGTGTCAAAGTGTTAGGTCTCTTAAATTTCTCAAGATCCATCTATCAAGTGTCTTTATTTAGCTTCTCTTTTGCAAGGATGTTAGCTTCTTATGGAGCCTGTTGTTTTGAACACTCACTAATTACCCTTTGTCATGTGTCGTCCGTCTCCATTGCTTAGCTAAAATTTCTTCTAGAAAACAACTCTAGATCTCTGTGGTACCATCTTTCACGATGTGTGATGTGCCATTTGATAAACTGGGTCCTAATAGGGTGTTCGCTGGACTCTGTGACATTTCCTTCCTCTAATTCTGGACACTCCCACTTCCCTGAACCACTCATCCTTCCCAGTTCATGAAATTTTGTGTTCCTTGCCAAGCTTTCACTGTGCAGTTCAGGATGGCCTTGAACTCACTTTGTAGCACAAGCTACCCTCAAACATTCAGTAGTCCCCCTGCCTCAGCCTCCTGAGCGCTGGGATTATAGGCATGTGCCACCATATCCAGCTCATTTAAGCTTATTTCCACACTTAATCTATACCTATTAAAATTCTACTTGTTCTTCAAGCTCAAATATTACACTTTCCTTGAAATATTCTCTTATAACCCTGCTCAGAAATAAATTCTTCAATTTTTAATTGTGTGTTTGAGTCTTTTCTTCCCCAATTTGCTATGCAACAGCACTTCTTATCTTGTATTATTATGTAGTTATCACTGTGGCTGTTTTGTCTGTCATTCTGTCTTAAATTTCACAATAGTAAAAATGAGCTGTGTTCATAAATGCCCATTTCACACAACTTAGCACAATGCCTTATATGACATAAAGGCTAAAGAATACTTAAATGGATGAATGCTCACTGTTGAAGTTTACTATTTGTTTTCACTTAAATTTAAGATTGTAGTTGCTGTCCTTTTAACCCTTACCCAGACTGCTCCCTTAATTTCTTTGCTGTCCTCTCCACCCGCACAGAATCTTACTATTAGTTCAGGCCGGCCTCAAACTCACAGGAATCCTCCTACCCCAGCCTCCCGAGCACTGGGATTATAGGCATGTACCACCTTGCCCTTCTCTAACTTCTTTTTAGCATTTCCAGTTCCTTATCGTACAAGAGCATTGTCTTTCTTTTTATAAAGACCCAAAATGTTTGAAAATAGTTCTGCTGAGTTAAACAGATGTTGTCACAGGGCCTCACAGGATTAGCAGAAGTTAAAATAACAAGTCAACAAAATAAAAAAGGAGAAATGATCTTCATTCTCTTTTCCGTGACTGTTTCTACTCAAACACTCAAGTCCTGGCAAGTCCTTTTTTTCCCTGCTGTGAACAGTAGCTGATCCATTGTCCCATTCTAAAACATGGATTCATGCAAAGCCATCAAATATTGAGAGAATTTAGCCACATGGATTGCTACATTTGAGTGAAAGAAAACTTAGCCAGAAAAAAGAAAAAAGAAAAGAAAAAATTTAACCTATAATCTCAGCACTTTCAGGATTGCAAATTCCAGTTCAGACTGGGCAATTTGGTAAAACCCTATCGCAAAAAAGAGGGAGAAGGGTTGGGGATAGAGCACAGGTCAGGGACCCCAGGTTCAACATCCAGGAACCCAAAGCAAAAACAAAAACAAAACAGAAAGATAATTGTCTCTTATCTCACTACTTTTACTTTGCAACTTTTAATTCCAAAGCTCAGTAAATTGGATTTTTAAAAAAATCACAACCAAGAGGACTAAGTTACTAAATCCAATGATTTAGCCAATACTTTTTCTTTCTTTCTTTCTTCCTTTGAGGCAGGGTCTTTTTTTTTTTTGGTACTGGGGAATTGAACTCACAACCTCACTCTTGCCAGGCATGCACTTATGCTGCTGAGCTAAATTCCCAGTTTGAGGGAGGGTCTTGCTATGTAATTTAATCTGGTCCTGAACTCACTATGTAGCCCAGTCTGGCCTTGAATTCACCAAGATACTCCTGACTTGGCCTCCCAAATGCTGGGATCACAGGTGTGTACCACCTTGTCCTGATTCCAAAAATTTTTTACTGCAAAGATCAGATAATGGAAAAAACCCATAGCACTGTTAACAAAGGGTACTGTTCAAACTGAAATAACAAAGGCTGAACAGGACAAAATTATGAATTCAGAGAAATAAAATTACCTGACATGAGCTATATTTTAAATATTAATCTTATTTGTTTTAAAATGAAAAAATTATGAGTTAGGAGTTAGAAATCTTTCAGAGAAAGATCACTTCATATTTCTCCAAGTTTGGCTTTAAAATATGTCTATGTTTAACAAATAGTAGATGCCTAGAAAATAAAAAAGACTTCAATACTGAATTGGCTAGCACTAATTAAAAAAAAATAAAGTTAATACTAAAATTTATGTATGATAAAAAAAGACTGCAAAACAAAAATCAAGAAAAAGAAAGATAAGCATTGCTACTTTAAGAGAAGGAAAAAAATGACATAAAACTCATTATGATTTCCAGAATGAAGATATGAAGGCAAAGGGAATTAACAGTCCAAATTTTTAGAACTGGAGAGGTGAACATAAAAATATGATCAGAGAGTTAAAATTTGGGATTGGAATTGGGGAAATAGACAGAAAACAATGACCCTGAAAATTTTATCACACTAAGTGCAAGTGACCAGGTGAGTTTAATTTTCTTACCGAAAAGTGGAGATATTAGCTGAAGGCTTCCACAGCAAGCTGTAGGTCTCCTCAGAGCGCGTCAGGTCCCCAGGCTTACCCACAATGAAGTCAGTAGTATGTTTGGGCAATTTGCTGTGTTCTCTCCTTTTCTGTTTCCTAAAGAAAGCCGCATGATCTCCACTCTCTGACCTCACAGGGAGAAGTTCTAAGTTGAGTCATTTCTGGAGATAAGAAAAGCGGTAGAGAACTGGAAGGGTTTGCTCGGAGATATTTTTCTGGAGGACAACAGAACATGACTAAGGCGACAGTACTTGTGAAATAAGCTACTCATTTCATTAAGTATTACTTTAGTTTTAGAAATGCAACTGGAGAAAATAATACCATGAAACAAAAGGGCTGTGATAGGAAGAGACTGGGGGAAGACTCATTTAAATAACCTTAGATAATACTCTTTTTTTTTTTTTTTTTTTTTTTTTTGAGACAGGATCTCAATTGTGGTTCTGGTTGGCCTTGAACTCACTATGTAGCCCAGGCTGGCCTTGAACTCAAGGTGCTCCTCTTTGCCTCAGCCTCCCAAGTACTGGGATTATAGGTGTGTACCATGCCTGGATGTAATGCTTGATGTGTGTAAAAAAGTATATGCCGTACCCAAATCTAGGTGAATAAGCAATAAAGTGGGACTACACACATGCACGCATGCACACTGTGAGATAACCCACATTTATAGTAATAGAAGTAACAATAGAAAATACCAGAACATAATAGCAGTAGGTCCCTGTTTACTCTGGGAAATCTGAGAAAGCCGTAAGGTAGAGATGAGATATAAGCAAGTCCTGCAATATCTCTAGGCTCATCAAGGCAGAAGAAAGTGTTGAGCCTGTTTGTGGAGCCCAGCTTCAGGCAGCAAGGTGGCAGGAGGAGGACAGAGGCCCTAAATTCCTGCAGGGGTCAAACAATGTGGTTCTTATAGGAGAAACGAAGACTGAAGACAATTTCTGCTTACAGGATTCCTTGTGCAGATTACTTACTTGTATCATTTTTTTCACATATTATTCCAGATGAAATGAAGTTCATTTGGTTAAATGTCTTCCAACACTGTTGTCTATGATGAAGACTTTTGTGCATATTAAATTAACTTGTCCTAGCAATTCTTTGGGTCCCCTTGTGCAATGTCTTGTGTCTGGAGGCTTTTTCAAAGGTAGCTGGGTCTAGAATGTGTTATGATAGGATTTTATTATTTATTTATTTATTTTTTGTACCAGGGATCTAACTCACGGCTTCAAGCTTGCCAGGCAGGCACTTATGTCACTGAGCTAAATCCCCAGCCCTAAAACAGGATTAAGAGTTCCTGATTAGTAAACATTTCACTGATTGTTTTGACACCAAATTTAAGCTTGATAGCCTAAGTAGAATATAAAAGGGGCAGAAAGAAGCTGCTAAAGTTGCCTTTGCTTGCTTGCTTTTGCAGTCTTCTGCCTGCCATGAAATGTTTCTCCTCTGTGATGCCCCTCTGCCATGCTACCCTCCCTAGAAGCCGCCTGATTATTGACTGAAACTTGTAAGAAGTATAAATTAATAAATCTTTCCTCCTTTACCTTTTTAAAAAGGTGATAAAGCCAGGCAAAACAAAACAGAATAAAGCTGATCAAAACAAAGCAGTGAAACTGGTACAGAACTTCAAAGCAGGATAACAGGAAAACATCAATGACCACCACAGTATCTCTTGTTATCTTCACAATAGTTGTCCACTCCATCAGGTACAGCAAAATCAAACCAAAACAAAATAGAATAAAACCAATTAAAGCAGAACATTGAACAAAGCAAAACAATCAGAACAAAACAGTAAGAACAACAATGAACCTCAAAAAACGAGACAGAAGGAAATCTCCCATATTTTCTATATTGCATAGTGTTATCCTCCCAACAGATGCTCAGACTGCTGGCCCCAGGCCTGCAAAGTCAACCAACAATACAAGCATTCAGTTGCTTTTGTGCCTCAGCTGCTATCAGTTCAGCCTGTCCTCTGAACTAGCTGGTTACTTACGATGGGCGCGGGGGTGATGGTGCTTGCATGGCTTGTGCAGCTTACTAGAAAGGCTGGCTATTTGGCTTCTTGGTGGGCTCCTCTCAGTCCCAGCATGGCTGATTCTCAGGAGGCACTGACTTCTCTCTTCCTAGGCCCCATGTCTTCCCTCCTCCTTTAACTTTGGATATCAGGTATTTTGTATCAGCAATGAGAAAAAGTAACTAAAACAGAAGTTGGTGCCAGAGAAGTGGAGCTGCTGTGACTATCTGACCATGAGATTTAGGAGCCTTTCAAGCTGGCTTGTGGGAAGGGGAAGGGTTAGAAAATGTCTGTAGATGCCAGCTGAAAAAGTAGAGCTGGAACCCCAAGGCTGTACTTAATGGGAGATTCTGGTTGGAGCTCAGAAGACCAGAATGCTGATAGAAATCCTGCAGGTAAAGACCAGGCCCAGGAGGTTTCTGCAGGGACGAAGGATTGCATTGGCTATTGGACTCCTAGCATTACTACCTTTGTAGAAAGATTGTCTGCGTTTTGCTCATGTCCAGAGACTTTCCCTGAGACTAAGATTAAGGGTGGCAGACTAATTATTCTTGTAGAAGCAATTTCAAGGCAATCTAATGTTGAAGTGTGGCATGGTTACTGTTGGGGGATTTTAGCCAGATTTATGTTGAGAATCAAGAGCAAAGAGCGTGGCGGGATAGGTCAAAATATTGTGAGAACAAACAAACAAAAAATGTAATTTTAACCAAAAAGGAAGATCCGGAAAATCTGCGGCCTGCAAAAATAGAAGAAAGATCTCAGCTGCTGAACAGAAGCAAGACAATAGAGAAGAAGATGGCCTGAGGACATCATAAAAAGCAGCAGAAATCTACCCTTTGCACCTCAAAATTGCAAATGTGTGAAAGACTTTGCTAGAGGGTAAAGGATTATGTGTATATGTGTGTGTGTGTGTGTATATATAATATATATATATATATATATGATCACTATACCACCAATCTCTGTTAGTTCACCCAAAAGAACAGTTTGTGCTTTCATTGATTATTTGATCGTTTTTTCATGCCTAAATCTTATAAGCTGAACTGCTTCTAAGATAACAATATGCAATATGTTAATTAGTGTTAATTTCCTACTAGTTGTTTTGAAATTCTACACATTTCTATCATCTATTTTTTAAATAAAAAAAAGGATTAAAAAAATAGAAGAGAACCCCAGCGTACCATGTTCCAGAATGGCAGCAGTCTAAGGAAGCTGTTCTTCAGGCTTTGGTTCATAGGCACTGGACCCCTAAACTCCAGAAAGAAGGAAGCCTCACTACTGCTCCAGTTGACTGTAGACCTTGGTGTCATCCATGTAACACTGGTTTTACACAAAAGCAAAATGCAAGAATTGTGGGGTCAGGAAGGCTTTCACCAAGATTTTATAAGAACACCTGGGAGGCCAAGCAGGGTGCCCTTGTGAGGCCAGTGTATGAGTGTAAATTTGAAGGTTCAGTGAAGACCCCAGAAACTTGGAGAAGCCAAGAACATGTATTGTCTGAGGAAAACTGCAAGGAGAAAGCAGAACCATCTCAAGAAGGAAACTATGGGAGCTACAATCACAGGCAGTGCCATAGAGGTTCTTTGGAGCTCTTTGGAGTTCACATCTTGCCGCAGATTACTTTAGATGCTGCACAGAGAGCTATAGGACTTGCCCTGCTTGATTTTGGATTTGCTTTGGTTGTATTCCTTTGTAGACCCCTTTTTGTACCTTTTGTAATGGAAATGTCTATTTTATGCCATTGAATGTTGGAAGTGTATAACTTTCTCTTCATTTTTACAGAGGCTTTGTGGCTAAGAGTTTGCCTTAAATCTGAGAGGAGACTTTGGTCTTGGACTTTTCAGCAATGTTAGGTCTTTGTCAACTCTTAGATATGGACTAAATGCCTTTTCATAAGGGGATGTGGATGAGTCTTTGGGGAGCTAGAGGTGGAATGTCATTGCTTGTATCTAGGTGTCCCCCCAACCTAATATGGTCACAGGTGAGGCTTTTTCAGAAGTGGCTAAATCTAGACTGTGTGAGGCTGGGATTAAGGATGTGTGATTACTAAATCAGTTCACTGACTAGTTTGGCACTTCTCTAAGCCAAGTAGCCTAGACAGACTATAAAAGTGGCAGAAAGAAGCTGCTAATGTCTCTTGGACTTGCCTTTTTGCTTGCCTGCTTTGCTATCTTCTGCTTGCCATGAACTGTTTCTCTTCTGTGATGCCCCTCTGCCATGCCATCTTACCTTGGAGTCAGCCAACTATGGACTGAAACCTCTACAAACTGTCAACCAAATAAATATTTCCTCCTTTAACTTTGCATGTCATGTATTTTGTCTCAGGAATGAGGAGAAGTAGCTAAGACAGCTTGTTTGCAGGCAAATTCTGCATTGTGAAATATTTCTGTGGCAGGAAGATCTAAGAAATACCAAGAATTGGACAGTGCTTATAAATTTTTTCTATTGTTATCTAATAAAAAATAGTATAAACTTATAAAAAAGGCAAACTGAAATAATACAGAAGTGTAAAGAGATAAGAAAAATTTAGTTTTTCATGATTAAGTGGGCTTCATCCAGGGATGTAAGGATGGTTCAACATACACAAACCAATAAATGTAATTCATCATATAAACAGAAGCAAGGGCAAAAATCATACAATCATCTTCATTCTGGAATCCAATGTCCATTTCTGATAAAAACACTGAAGAGGGCTGGGGATTTAGCTCAGTGGCATAAGCACCTGCCTGGCAAGGTTATGGTCGTGAGTTCACTCCCTGGCACCAAAAACAATCAACAACAACAACAAAAATCACTCAAGAAAACATGTATAGAAGATCTTTATTTCAACATGATAAAATACATTGATAAAAACATACTGTTAACATCATATTAAATGGGGGAAAACTAAAAGCCTTCTCTCTAAAAGCAGGGTCATGAAAGAAGGTCCACTATCACTACATCTGTTTAATGCAGTCCTCAAAACATTAGCTAGAGCAATCAGGAGAGAGAAAGGAATAAAGAGAGTATGTATAGAAGGGATGAAG